TGGGCCCAGGGCTGTGGCACTGGGGTCTCCTCCCCATAACTCTCAAAGCCATTGGGTGGTTTAGAGGCCTGAGAGATAGCTGAGGTCATGAGAGTTTTGTGGTCCATTAATTGAGATACAGTAAGATGCTGCCTCTGTACCACCACTGAGGGAAACACTTTGTGATAAGGCTCCCTGCTTTATAAGATATCACAAAATCTGCACCAGGGAGGAAGATCTTTAGCACTCATGAAACTCTTAGCGGGAGATAAAGCCGAATCATGCCCTGTAATAGCTTTTTTCTGCCGCTCTGTTTTCCAGTGTCGGTGGTTTTTCTCAGAGCCCTACCTCCTGTGCTGATACAGATTAATGAGCATCTGTTTTTTATGTTTCTGAAGAAGTCTGTAAGCTATGTGCTGCGTAGAAGCTGTAAAACGTGACCGTCCTGTGTCTCTTTCCAGGCTCCACCCTGCAGTCTGTCATCTGCTCCAATGACGCCCTCTTCTACTTCGTGTTCTTCTACCCCTTCCCCATCTTCGGCATCTTGATCATCACCATCCTCCTGGTGCGGTTCAAGAGCCGGAACTCCAGCAAGAACTCGGAGGGCAAGAACGGGGTCCCCTTGCTGTGGATCAAAGAGCCTCACCTCAACTACTCGCCCACTTGCCTAGAGCCACCAGTCCTCAGCATCCACCCGGGAACCATAGACTAAAGAGGCCGAGAGGTGCCCAGGAGGACACGCAGAGAGAGAGAAGCAGAGACACACCAGGAACCCTAAGGAACAGAGTGGTTTTCGTTGTTCTTGTTTCATTTGTTTCAGTGTCTGTGCTCCGACGCGGCGGCTGAGCTCTGCGGAGCGCCCAGCCGGTGGGGACGGGAAGGTCCGAGGCTTCTTCCAGCACCTGTGGGAACGCACCCAGCCACCGAGACAGCACCGAGCCTGTGCGTTTGCTGTACATAGCGGATATTCCTCTCATTAATTTTGATCCCATCCGTTGTTGTCCGTTGGGCTGTTACTTTTTCGTCGTTGTTTCTTTTCCGTCTCCCAAAGAACTGTAGGCTTCCCCCTCTCTCCACACAGCGAGGAGTTCCCAGGGGGCTTTTGGTCCTGGGACGATCTCTGGAGATAAATGTGTACGTGTACCGAAACAGACTTGGTTTTTCCTCCTGAGATTCTGTGCCACGGTGAAGAAGGTCTTTTCCCAAGGTGCGCTGAGCTAGCTGCTCCCTCTTCCAAAGCAGGCAAAGCCAGGACCACCTCTGAAGGGTTTAGGTGGGGTATTGGGAGGTCCATCTCAAAAACTGGCTGTAGCCTCAGGATCTTCTTGCCTCCGTCTTACTGTTCTCTCAGGAGGAGGCAATTCACCTTTTGGGAGCATTCCCCAGTCTTGGAGAAACTGAATGTTCAATGCGCTTGCAATCAGGACAAAAGCAATTTAGCTGGTCTCCAGGAACTGAGCGGGGAAACAGAAGGAAGGTACCTGAAAGCCTTGACTTTGTTTTAATCAAAGAAGGTCCTCATGCGGTCCAGCATGCCAGAGAGATGCTGCCACCACTGATGAGGCAGCTCCTCTCCGTGCCCCACTTGCCTGGGGACGGGTGGCTGGATCCAGTCTCTGAAGGCTTCAACTTGACCAAAGTAATGACTCTAGAAATGGGGAAGGAGAAAGCTCCGTGGGTTGGATTCACGGTCCCTGGATGGTTCAGCCAAGGAGCCCAGTCACAGCCACGCAGCGGGGACGTGCACTTAACCACCTCATGTCACCAGGGTTCCCAGCAGCTCGCGCGGCTTCCCAGCACGAGCTTGGACAGGGCAAGGAGCCTGCATCGCACCTGCACCCTGGGGGCTTCCACGTCTCTTTGGGTTGAGAGAAATCTTCCCGTACGTGTGTGTGCGCGTGTGCTGTTTTCCATCTCTGGGGCTTTAGGAGGAGAAACCGTTTTGCCGTAAGCCCTCTCTCCTGGCAAAGTCACCTGCTCTTGTTGTACGCAACTGCCGTGACAGGAAATGCTGTTCTTTCTGTGAAAGATATGGCTCTCACGAAGCAAACCAGGGCTCTCTCCATGTGGGGCACCTACGCTCAAGTACCCCGTACTGCCAAGTACCCCTGCTGTGTCCTGTGGAGGAAACCGCCTCCTCCCCGATACACCCTAAGCGTTTTGTCTGGCGGAAGAAAATGTTTGCCAAAAACGGCCTTTTGTTGTCTTCCTTGATGTCTTCCTGGCAAATCTGGCCATTTGTTTTTTGCAGCATGGCTGAAGCCGACGTGGGCGGATGGGTGCAGCCGCAAGACCCCCCCCCGCCTCGCGTGAGAGAGGTGCCATACCTACAGCTGCCGACCTCTTTGGGAGGGTCGGACCCCTCTTTGTGAAGAGAAGGGGACCTCAGCAGATGCTCTGTAGTACTAGTAGGTTAAACCCTGATGCCTTGACGTTTCAGAAGTGGTGAAGCCTCAGGTGGGAGATCTGCGTGGCACATCCTCTCTCCTGGCTAGAAGAGGAGCTTGCATCTTATCTGCGGGGATGCAGATGGTCCCACTCCAGTGGCAGGAGAGTCCGCTGCCACCTCTACTCCTCCACCAGAATGTCATTCGTTTCTTCTTCTGCTGAGAAGCCCAAATTGCACTCACCCCTCTGCAAAGTCTCCCTCCTTGAGACGTAATTGCTTACTGGCCCCAGCATACGCATAATATCACACTCCTATATATATAGATATATATATATCTCACACACCCACACACTTGTCTTCCCTTTCTGGATAAGGAGTCTGCACAGAGAGGAGTGGGATGAAAAGTGAATGGAACTGAAGAACCAAGACATGAACAACAGCAGCTGCAGCCAGTGGGTATTGTTTCATAAATGTAGTATCTCTTGTACATACTGCTTCAGGGCAGGAACTGCAATTCATTTCAGCTTTAAAGGAAAAAGAGAAAGTCAGCAGGAGCTGTTCTTCCTTGGAGAGCGTGCGCTGCATCTGAACCAGGCTCCTCCTCTCCAGCCTGCCTGCCCCAGCAGCGCTGCCCCGGACCAGGGCTCGCGTGGAGGGCTTTTCCACAGCTCCCCTCGGCCCAAACTGGTCCCTGCTCAGCCGACAGTTCTTGCACCGAGCCCAGGCTTTCCCAGGAAGCGGCTCCTGTGATGGTCCCAGAATGTACCTTGCCACTGACATTTCTCCGTTGTTCTGGCAGTCTGTTGCCCAGTCTCAAAGTTCTCTTTGTTTTTATAAGGCAGACTCTTCCTGTAATGAGTTTCAACATGAAGCTTTCCAAACCACTCTCTCTGCTGTAACTTTCTGTACTGAACCTGATGAAAGAGAGATAGCCTATCCATGCATGATGTGGAAAAATGTTTGGGATTTTTTAAAAAACAAAACAAAAACAAAAAAACTTTGTACTATGTTGCACTAAAACATGTTTTATACAACACACCTGAGAGCTGTAGTAAACTGTGTTGAAATTGTGATTCATACTGCTGCTGGTTTTTGTCTGATTTGGGCTTTTGTTGTACCTTTATGCACAGTCCCTACATAAAGGTGTGCTGAACTCCCAAGCCAGCTCCCACTTTTAGGCAGCCTCTCCTTCTACCCATGTTTCTTGATGCACCAGCTCTCCTCCCTCCCCAGCAGTACATCTCTACTCATCCATGCTGGAGCTTGCAGCCACTTTGCACCCTCTGGCCCTTCAGACATACTGTCTCCTCCCATCCCTTCATTCATCCCGTAGTAGCATACAGTATTTAACAGAGACATGCCAGGGCTATTTACTGAACACTGGTTTTGAAATTACTCTTAAAATAGTAAGCACTTTGCACTGAAGTAGTCTGGATTTGAAGAAGCATTTTTTAATAGAATAATACATGGTAAATAGTAAGCAAATATTAATATTCTTGATGGAAGCATAAGACTGTAGTTCACTACCTAAGTTGATGTAAAATGCAACATCTTAATTCTCTCTTTACCCACCTTTACCTTCCACAAGGGTTTAGTCAGTAGTATTGAACTCCCTGGGTAAATGAAAGAGGGAATCTTGATATATTCTTACACATATAGCAAAATCACTGTGAAATTGTGCAAAATGCATTTGCAATGCAGAAGCCAGTAGATGCTTTTTTTTTTTCTTTTTTTTTTTTTTCTTTTTTTTTTTTTTCTTTTTTTTCCAGTATTCATAGAATCAGAATATCCCAAGTTGGAAGGGACCCTCAAGAATTGTTGAGTTCAACTCCTCACAGGTCTACCCAAAAATTCAGACCGTGTGACTGAGAGCACAGTCCAAACGCTTTTTAAACTCCGACAGGCTTGGTGCTGTGACTGCGTCCCTGGGGAGCCTGTTCCAGTGCACGACAACCCTCCTCTCAGTGAAGAACCTCTTCCTGGTTGCCAGCCTGAACCTCCCCTGTCACAGCTTGACACCATTCCCTTGGGTCCTATCACTGGTCACTAAAGAGCACAGATCAGCACCTACCCCTCCACTCCCCCTTGCGAGAAACTTTAGACCGCAATGAGGTCCCCCCTCAGCCTCCTCTTCTCCAGGCTGAACAGGCCCAGTGCCCTCAGCCACTCCTTATACGTCTTCCCCTCTAGGCCCTTCACCATCTTCGTCGCCCTCCTCTGGACACTCTCCAACAGTTTCATGTCCTTTTTGTACTGTGGTGCCCAGAACTGCACACAGTACTCGAGGTGGGGCCGCACCAGCGCAGAGTAGAGCGGGACAATCACCTCCCTCGACCTACTAGCGATGCCGTGCTTGATGCACCCCAGGATACAGTTGGCCCTCCTGGCTGCCAGGGCGCACTGCTAGCTCATATTCAACTTGCTATTAACCAAAACCCACACATCCCTCTCTGGGTATTTATTTAGAATAAAAAATACCATCCACTAAAATAACCACATGAGAAAACTCTCTTGTCCCTGAAGCAGCTAGCTGTTTGCTCCCTCCCTCTCTCCTAGCGGGTTATCTTGGGCTGCATCTGCTACAATCACTGTGCAAAGGAGAGCTTTTAATGCTACAGATGCTCCCCTCTCAACGCTCCCAAACACCACAGTTGCCTCACTGCCACACCAGCACACGCAAGCAGAAAACACCAGCCTCACATGGGTCTACCTACGTTAAGCAAAAGGCAGCAGGTGGCGTAAGCATGCTTCCCGGAGGGGTGGTCCTTCCACCCCTACCTAGGTGAGGCGGTACAAGTCCTTGCCCACCTTCTCCAGGCGTTCCCTGTACTCCAGGGGGGCGTAGAGGGAGGCGGCGACCCCCCGAAAGCCGTGCATGGCCCCCCACCAGCAGGCCGCAATGGCGGCGGTGGAGTCGCTGTCTCCCGCGTGGAAGAAGGCTCGGTGGGCCAGCTCTGTCCAGGAGTCCCCCGCGCCCAGCAGTGCATCGTAGGCGATCATGGGGGCGTCGTGCCCACTGCTGCCCGCCCAGCCGTCGTAGCTGAGGGAGGTGTAAAAGGAGTCTCTCTCTTCCACGCCGTACTTGGAGGGGAAGGTGGGCAGCGAGACCCCGTCCAAGATGCCTCTCTTCGCCAGGTATTTTTTCCATTGCTCCTCGAAGTAGTACCTGCAGAAGAGGGCACAGGACAGAGAGGGTGTGAGAGAAGTGAGAAGTCCTGCTGCAGGAGCACACACCCGGCTGCCAGAAAACGCGGCGCCGAGAGAGCCCGGAGCAGCAGCTCAGCAAAATGGTAGGCGTCCCCCGTTCGCCAAACAAGGGACAGGATTTACAGTAAGAGGCACAAGGACACATTTCAGTGAGTTAGATTTCCCCTTCCTCCAGCCACATGGGAGAAGGCAGCCCACCACCTGCCGCTGTTGCGCTGCAAAGGATTGGAAGGCTCAGACCGAGAACTGAGTCATCCTCACAAACCCAGCGTACCTCTGCCCGTGTGTGTGCACAGAGCCACGCTGAGTGCGCATCCAGATTTGGTTACGACTTTCAGACTGAGCTCAGCCCTAGACCTGGTGCTCTTCCCCAGCCCTGGTTCCCATCTTTCATCAGGTCATGGTTGAGATGGCAAGTCTAGCTGCCTCATATTGGATCCAAAAAATGTCAAAGCTACATGACACTAAAACAACCTGCCGGTTTTTTGTTATGTTAGGTGTATTTTTCTCCTGGGGGACATCAGAGACTTTCTGAACCAACCGGATCCCGGGTAGGCATGCGCTGCTCTCGGAGTGAACCATAATGTGATTACTCAGGCTTAGGTATAAACAGCACTCACCCTCCCGTACGTGAGGTTTATTTTAATTTTAACAAAGCCTGGCGGCAGCAGTGCAGCTCACCATTGCCCCATGTTCTCCTCCACGAAGAAGCCAGCGTCCCGCACGTAGGCCTTGGCACGCGGCAGCACCTCCAGCAGCTTCTTCCCCCAGGCCGGTGGGGGCACGTTGTTCACCGCAAAAGCCGTGAAGAGGGCCGAGGCCAGGGACCCCAGGTAGCCGGTGGGATGGTGGTGGGTCATCCGGCCGCTCTCGATGCTGACTTGCACCAGCGTGTCCAGCTCGTCGGCGCGGCGGAAGCGCAGGCCGATGCACATGGAGCGCATGGCAGCCCCGCAGCCTCCACCTTTGGGGCTGAAGGGGATCCTCCAGCCATCCGGCTTCTCCGGTTTCAGATTCAGAGCGTTTTTCTGACACATGGCACCTGGGCAGGGAGGAAGAACCACACGTCATGCGGAGATAGCGTTCTGTAGCATGGAAACCAGGGGAAGGCAGGCAGGGCAGGAGGGCACTGCCCTGTGGAAGGGATTCAGGCTTCCCTATAAACGCACTACACCCTGCGTTTTCTCAAGCAGACCCGATAATTCCAGTTTGTGAAAATAATTATAAAGCCCAGGGGGGTAAAAAACACCCCACTGCTGATTTTTTATTTATGCAATTTATATTGTCACTATTTACATTTGATGTTGCTTGCTTAATAGCATCTATAAAACATTTATACTATCTAAACAAGGTATATTATGCACAACTTCATCTAGATATCTAGATATCCATAAACAGAAGGGAGATTTGGAGATCCATCGGATCACGTTGATCCAGACCCAAAGCAAGACTAAGTACCTCTGCTGTTTTCCTGGCAGATGCTTAACTTCTCTGCCTCACTGCTAGGAAATATTCCCTGCAATAAACCCAGATCTCCCTTGCTGCAGTTTAAGTTTGTCAGAAAGTGAGGAATGCTGTACTTTCCTCACTGCAACAGGGTTTGCATGAGTAGCTTTGCTGTATTTCTCCTAAATAAGCTGAAGAGTAACTGTATTATGTCAATTGAAAGGTTTGCCCAGCCCAGCTGCTCTCCGAACATAGCCACCAGCAGATATCTATGGAAAAACTACAAAAAATGTGGCAGCTGCAATGTTTTCCTGAGAACACCCATACGGCTTTCAGCAGACAGAGGAGTCGTCCTGAGTCTCAAGTTGGGTCCAAAGGATGACATTCAGTAACACCCAGTGGACCCAGCAGCCCTGAGCTGCCCTTGTTATCTAGAACCCGCGCATGCTTTCAGCCTCCTCTAACATCCTATGGTAATCTGAGCCACGATTTGGTTATGCAAAGTGTTTCCTTTTATTTTAAACTGCCATTTGACAATTTCCTTAAATTCCCCTCTGATTTTTTTTAATTGCAAGAAATAACAACTACCGATTCACCATGTTATTCCAGTCTGTATACACTTCGGCTCTTCTCTTCAGTCTTCTGCTCTAAGTTGACACCCCAATCCAACTTCGCCCTTCTTCAGGTGGGAAGCCACACATTAACTCCTCGCTGCGCACCTCCATCCCTTTCTTAGTTCTGCTATTTATTGTTCGAAGTGACTCTGCTTCTTCCAGTGCTGCTGCTTTGATAATGCTCATGTTAGTATAGCCCCTTCATAGGTCATGTTAGTATAGCCCTTCATAGGTTAAAGCCAATTACATTTCAGAGCCCAGCAACCTTCCCAGGCAAAGACCAAGAAAACTTTTTAAGAAGTGCGAAGCCTGAATGATTGTGTGCAAGGAAGAGGAAGTAGGTTTCAAATACTACATTGTCTTTGATCCTCTTCTACCTTGCTTGGCAGTAGGATTTGGTGTACGTCAGTCTGTTTTACCAGCACATGGCATTTACAGCACCCTTGTAACCAAAATACCTCCAAATCCAAGCACAGTTTTGAGATTGGCTGGCCACATACTAGCAGTGCTAGCACTGGTTGGCTGCTGTCAGTAATAATGTCACATGGATCCTTTCACAGTTCTGGTCTACGTTTCTTTAGCATCCTTCTCTCCTGACAGTGTTGGTGCATTATATGCATGTTAAATCAGCACAGGGTACAGCCCGCTGTGCTCTGGTGGACCAGCTCAGTGCGTCTCAAACTGAAAAAGCAGCTCTGTCCTGTTGCTCTCACACTATTTGTGCAACCAGCCTGTCATCAGAAATAAATTTTGAGAATGGGAACAGCATATGCAAGGCTTCCCCACAGGAAAAAAAAAAAAAGGGTTGTCGACCAGTGCAGCCCACACTGTCAGGCTACTTTCATTCTCATGAATTCCCCGCAGCGTGACGCTGGCACAAAGCAGAGCTGCCATCTCACCAAGCCTCAGCCCTGCCTGGCGTGCCTGCACACCAGCCTCTGCTACGATGCTGGCGTCACACTGGTAGACGAGGCCTGCTGGTTTTGCTGTCCCACACAGCCAGCCAGCCCCTGGATCAGTCCAGATGTTCTTTATGCAGCCTTCCTCCGGGTGACTTAGAGTGAAAACTGCAGGGCTGTGTCTTTCCGCTGGAAGCAGCAGCAAGCACAGCATTTGATAGGGGTGGCACTGGGCTCAAGCCTCTAAATATGCTTTCTGTGTAGTTTATTAATTCAGTGCTGGCTGCTATGTATCAAAATCATTAAGAGTGCTATCAGTATAATTTCTAACTGTGTTATGATTAACACAAAATTGAAGCACTTTACAAATCTAAATATACTAAGCATTGCACTTAGACCTATATGGGACCTAAAAAGATCCAGTCAAACAAAACCAAGCTTTAAAAAAGCTGTGCTAATTATCATATTTGTGTGTACTTGGTAAAACAGACTTTCTGGCAGAAAGACAAGAGGAAAGGGAAAGAGCAAAGGGACTAGGATAGCTCAAAATCAAAATATGCACCAGAAAAATTAACTCTGTAATCTTCTTGGAACTGCAAGAAGGGCATTTCATCAGGACATGTTTAGACACGTTGGGACCAGGCAACTCAGTGCTTGATAAGCAGAGAGATCGTTCATTAGCTATTACCAAAGAAAAATGAGGAAGAAGACAAAGCTTAAACTGTAAAGAAAGACTTGTTATTTTGCAATAGCAAGCAGGCATTTGATTGCAGCTTTAAGCCTGTACATATTACTCTAGGAGATTACTTCTCATAACATGCAAATGAAAAAAAAATTGTAAATCATACCAGTATACAACAGGTAGGACTCTGGTGATTTAAGAAGTGATGTATTGCAAGTATTATCCTCATGCTTTTAAACAATTAAAATATTAAAGCATTCAAAATCTGATTAAGGAAGACTAAGTTGAAAACATGCTGTTAGGCCTTTTTTTAAACTGGATTAAAAACAAAACAACAAAAAAAAAAAACCTCCTGTTGGACACTTACCAAATCCTGGTTAGGAACTCCATGCAAACTAAACTAAAGGTAATACTGTTTTAAGGAAAAAAGAAATGCAAGCAAAAAGCACTGTGAAAAAAAAGCCAATCTGGAAAAGTTTCATGTACAGCTGGATGCTATTTCTGGAATAGGCTTTTAGGCTTCTATGCCATTTATTTTGACTTTTCATGAGCACAGCCATGTGCTGGGAGCAGTAACAGCACAGTACCAGCTGGTTAGGGTCTGTCAGTGAGCATAATAAAGGTGAGTTCAAACAATCACATAGTCACAAAAAATTCCATAGGTAGAGGACTTAGACCAAAAGGAACAGAGCAACAGGCAACAGCTTTGAAGCAGAAGGTTTCCTGGAGAGCTTTGCAGGCAAGTGTAACATGATGGAAAAAGAAATATGGCCATTCTTGTGTCACTTAATTCATTGGCTTTGCTATCTGCAAAGAACAATGATTTTGGGCCTGTGGCACATCACAAAGAGCAATAATGGATGTAGGGATTCATTTGCCATTAAGACAGTGAGATAGATTGCCCTTCTCTCTTGGGGCTGCTTATTTGAGGGACCCCACTGTGGCCTTCTGGTGACTAATAAAGATGTGGGAATCCCTTTGTTACTGTGGGTTTTGATTTTCAGGTCTGGCTTTCCTTGTGTGGGTGAACAATGTGACTTTCCCCCACTATTCTAGGGGAATCTCCTCTCTATTGGGTGAAAGTTGCAGCGGCAACTTTCCATTCTCAGCCTTAAAGGCTGCAATTCCCCAGTGAGTATTTAATCTGCTCAGAAGAGCATCATCTCAGGTTCTGTTTTCAGTTATCATCTATTTACTCTGAAATGCCTTAAGAAGTTACTGACATGCAACGTCTATCATTATTATTTACAAATACAACATGGAGACCCTGGAATGCAGACAGCTTCTGAGGATATGGATTAGGTGTTCCCTTTTGTAGTAAGGCAGTGAACATTAGGTAGCTAAGTGTCAAATTTAAGCTCTCAGAGGCTAAGACCTGCTCAACTCCTTTCCTGTGGCTGCAGCAGGAGAACTCCTGAATGCTGTTGCAAGAGCATTTTCAGCAGATTTCCATTTTTTTCCATGCTACTTTCTCTCCATAGCAGAATTTTACGAGGCAAGCATCTGTGGAACCAGTGCTCACAGAAGAATTTGCATCTCTTTGTTCAGCCAAATAACCTGACCTTTTGTCACTCCAATTAGTCACCATAGCGAATTTACTTTGAGATCCCTTACTTCCAAATGGGAGCTGCTTGTGGGCATGCTGCAGCCTGGTTACTCACATATGGACTGCAGCAGGTGTGCTATTATACTTAGCTATTAATTACTAACATTCCAATTTTAGGCTCTTCTCCTTTTCGTCTCAGATTGTAGTCACCAAGCTTAGATATCAGAGACAAAAATAACTTCCAGGTGCTGTCTCTCTGACAGCTGTGGTTGGTCCACCTTGGCAGACCCCATCAGTTAGGGGACCTACAAGTTGCTCCTTTGCCAAAACAGCAATAATTCTGTCAAAATTTTAACCTGCTGGCTGCTGCTATCCTGGCAAGCATCATTAGCTCTTCTTAAATATTTTATTAATTAATCTGCTCTGACAACTGAAATTATCTGTCTTACTGAATGCTGATATTTCAGTCCTGGCCGTGAGGATAAGCAGTGGCTGCGGAAAGGTACGCAGAACACTTTCCTGCTCAAGTTTCTTATCTGGCTTACCAATGAGAACAATGCAGGATTTGGTCTTTCCCAGGAAAATGTCTTTTAATGTCAAGCCAGAACATTCATGCTATATTTTGGCCAATCCAGATAGGCATGAGTCCAGCCGAACATTTTTCATTTTTAAAACTTTGTATAGCATTGCAGCATTTGAGTGTTTCCTGACACTTATCCTGCATGCACTAGCCAAACTAGAGGCCCAGCCTCTGAAGCTCCTATTTAAGTTTATTTCAACCATCTGCAGGAGGCTGGGCCATCTGCAGAGAGAGATGGGGACCTCAGGGAGGTGCTGGGTAAGCAGGCCTGGGTGAACCAGGATCTGCAGAAATACATGGCATGCAGCTTGGATATTGCAGCCTGTCAACGTATCCTTCCCAAACGCTGCTATGCACTGCCAGTCCCTGCAACTTGTGCCCCAAACTTGGCAGCACTGTGGTCGTGCCAAGAAATGAGAGAGGCTGGACCTACAAGGTTCGGAGATCCTAAATGTGGCCTGACTGTCCAGTTGCAGAAAGTAGCCATTCAGAGCTAGCCAAAGGTAGACTTTGGGTTTAATGAACTTAATTATTCCAAGCAGGGATTTCCCTGCCTTTAAATATTTTTTATGTGTAATTTATTGCATTTGTTAAAAGAAGTTCTCTATTAATGCTCTGTTTAGAGGAGTTAACACAGCATTTCAAGATGCACATTATACATGGCTGAATTTGTGTTTTTCCTCCAAGGGTGTAGGAAAAGACAGTAAAAAAATAATAATAATAATAATAATAAATAAATAATAAATAATAAATAAACAGCATTCACCAGTGGAAAACCCTCTCATTCCTCTCATGAGTTCAAGGCCAGGCCTCAAACACACCTGTAAGAATGTCTTATAAATGTGGGCAAAACAGTATCTTTTATTATCTAGTTCTGAGATGGCCCAAACACTTCACCCTGCCTTTTTCTATTCTCAATTCATCCTGAAAGAGTTACTGAGTGTAGAAAACTTTTGGCTGTACAAAAAATACAATTAATGCTATAAAGAGCCAAAAGCAGAGCCTTAAGGTGAGAAGCTGGGCAGAAGCAGGGCCAGCCTTGGCTCCAAGCTGCATGAACGCGAGAGTCAGTAGCCACAAGGAGAGAGGGCCAGAGGACAGCTCTGCCAAGGAGACATAGCGGAGAGGTTACCTGGAGCTCTGCCTTCCATGTCATTCATGCACTCCTTGTAGTTATTTGCAATCAGGGAATAGAGATGCTCTAAACGTGGATTTTTCCCAGCAGCTACCAGCGCTTCGGCTGTGGCCAGGTGCATCACTGTGTCATCGCTGACTTTCCAGCCTTTGATGCTGATGTTGCTGAGCCCACCCATCTCCGCCAGCTCCTTGTGGATGGTTGGGCCGTGCTGCAGGAACTCCCATTTCCCATTGTAGTAGCCCAGCGTGTCTCCAAGTGCACTCAGCACCATAGATGCCACGTAGTTTTCCATCTCCTTAGGACAAAATTTTTGCCCCAGGACTGCTTCAATGCAGAAAGTACTATGAAGAAAAAAAAAAAAAAAAAGAGAGAGAGAGAGGAGGACAGTAAAGAAAAACTTTCTCAGTTCAGTACAAGCCTCTACTGCTAACCTCCGGTAGCCTGGATTTGTGGCCTAGCACCTGCATCTCCCTCAGCGATGATGTTCCTTCAAAGCACACGCATCCCCCTGGCCCTGAGGCAGGGAGAGCAGGGCTTGTCCTGCTGGGGCAGCAGCCAGCCAGGATGGTGCTGTGTGTTCAGGGACCAAAATGCAATGGCAGTACTGCAGAAATGTGTAGGGAAGTAAAGGAAACCCACATTTTCTCCAGATATAGCCCACAGGAGTAAGGAGATCGGATCAGGCTCCCTGTGATTTTCGTACCGTGAGAATAACTTGAGAGTGAAGCCCGCTTTTAGCCGCCCAGTGCCAGTCCATTCATCCTTAGCAGCGTAAGGCAGAGCCTGGTACAAGTGGCAGAGAGGGGCTCTGACCAACAGCTGGCCCATCTCCGGAGGGAGGCTGGCTACAGAAACGTGTGCTCTTACAGGCAAAACCAGGCACTCCAGCGGATATTTTAAGCAACACTTCCGCACCCCCCCCCCGGCCAAAACACTTCTGGGTCTGCTGCTTTTTGCTTCTGTGCCTCGATACACGATAAGGATCCTGTAAGTCTCCCTTGTCACATGAGCCAGGAAAAATGCAGAAAGAAAACCAGAGGCGCAGCGAAGAAATTAAGCTCCTAAAAAACCGCTCTGAGGTTAAGCACGTAATTCGCCTGGCCGGGGGGAGAGGAGGCTGCTTCCTGCCGCACAGCGCCATTGCAGTGTCGGGACTTACACGGCCAGGATGCCGAAGGCAGGGTGCCGGCTCCTCACACCCCCTCGCCCTACCATTGGCATGACACGGCGCCGAGCCAAGGACACCGGGCCCTGCCACCAGCGCCTCTCCCAAGGCTACCCCGCTGAGGCCTCCATGATGGCAGCAGTGGTGGCACTGTGGTGGTGTAGTACTTCCTCGTTTCCTCCTTTCCTCTGCGTCACCGCTGCCGCGACAGGCCCGGCCCGGGAAGAGGGGGAGGAAGGCGGAAGGCTTGCTCTGCCAGCACAGCCCTCAGATCCCTCTCCAGACACAGAGCAGCTGCAGCAGGGCCACCGAGCAAGCCCCGCAGCCACCCTCTGGCACAAGCCACCACAGCGGCCATGTCCCCGCTCACTGCTTGGGGTGGGGGGAAGACCGAGGCCAGCAGGGTGGCGGCGGAGGGGAGCACCAGCCTTCACCGACCCCACTGCCCCAGCACTGCCGGGCTTCGCTCCCAGGATGTCCCCTGCCTTGTGGTTTTGCTGCTCAGCCCCTAAGTGTGCTCCTGGCCAGCCCCCGCTTTCCCTCCCACACCTCCCCCCTTTCATTTTTGGGGTTCTGGTCTGTCTTCGTGCCTTAGGAGCCATACAGTCAATTTGGAAATGAAGTCACCACGTGGAGATGATTATTTTCTTAAAATAAAATAAAATAAATATAAAATAGTAAAAATGACAGATTTTTGGTATCCCCCCCTTGCTTTTCTGTTGAACCTCTGCACTATTTTCCTGAGCACATTCTTTTAGCCAGACCACCAGTCTCCTCCTGGGTGCCAGCGCAAGTTATCCCCTGGGCCCTGCAAGTCTCCAGCATTTACCTGGAGCTTTGTATGGGGCAGCACAAACCCCTCACAGACCCAGGCCTCCTCTGGGCAGATCCCTGCTTTGTCTTGTGTTGGTGGTCCTGCTTCTTTGCATCTCAAAGTGCTTGATGACACCATTGCCTCCTACAAGTTTTACACTTCTTTTTTTTATGCTGGTGGTGGCTATGTAGCTGAGGGTGTCTACTGAATGGGCAAAGAAGGAAAAGGAAAAAGGAAGTAGGAGCAAGAAATAAGAATAAGCATGGCTTGGACCACCATTTGCAGAGGCTGAACCTTCTCACCAAATCGCGGTCCCTTGACAGGCGCACGCCGCATCTCTGGAGCCCTGATTCATGTAAGGAGGTACCAACAGCTCTTACATATGAAAAAAAAAAAATCAAAATAAAAAATTCCCCCATGGCTATGAGAGAAAGCAGTGGTAGTTTTAGAGCTGCAGCCCTGGGGGATTTCAGGGCAATCAAGACTGCAGTGCCGGGCCAGAGCAGAGTCCCTGGGGAATTTGGGGGCAAGTAAGAGAGCTGGCTGGAGCTGGGCCCTGGGGGATTTCAGGTAGCTGAGAACGCTGAGCTGTGCTGGAGCGTCCACCCCGGTGGCCTCGACTGTTTGGCATTCAGTGTCCATTCAGATATTTACTGCTTCTCTGCCACCCTGCTGTAGACGTGGAGTTTGTGAAGCATCTGGTACAGAAAATAGTAACAGAAAAGAAAGTGGGAAAAGAAGTTTCTGGTGTATCAGCAGAGCCAGTGGTGCCTGCTGACCTTTTCTGCTTGGGTCTGTTTTATACAGAGCAGCTCAGAATTTACTCAGGCTGTTCCTATGCTTAAAAGCAAAACAGGGCTTTTGTCTCCTAAGGTTTGGGCTTGCGAGAGGGAAAACCCCTCCTGCTTTTTGCTGGTTCTCTGTGAGGAAGGGCTTCTGCTGCAGCAGTAAGGGCAGAAGAAAAGAATGTCGCAGGGTTCCCCAAATGGCCAGGAAAATGAGAGCACTCCTCTGCGTTAGCACAAAATAGCTGTGGCACTGAAATCTTTGTATCATGCCACTGTTTTCTGGTTCCTGATCTCTTTCAGATTCCTAAAAAATGAAACCAAAACATGCTTTGGAGCTAAGCAACGTCTCAAATGTGTCACCAAAAAACAACGAGACCTACTCACTGACAGGCAGCAGCTGAGCAACTACCAGCTGGAGCCATCGTCAGGAGCCTGCAAGCATGGGGTAAGGAGAGGGGCAATTTTCAGGCTTGAATGAATGTGTTAATCCCAAAGGGACCCTGTGGGATGCATGAAGAGAGTGCTGTCCATCAGGCACACCACCAGCCTGGGGTTGGTGCAGGGCAGCATTGCCCTGACTTATCCAACAGCATGGGAAGGTGGGGACCCATTTGGCAAGGGTGACCTTCTGTTTGTAAGCCATGCAAAAAGTTAAAGACTCATGAGATTGCACCTTTCTGGGGTTTTTGCCTTTTTTTTTTTTTTTTTTAATGAAAATTTAGGTTGCGGTGGACCTACGGCCAGGATATGCCTTCTGGAAAGTACCACCTTGGAGAAGCTCACTGACATGCCCCTGCCATGTGTTGGACACTGTGGTTAGTACTTGCTTAGACTCAGAATTTTCCTTCATGTTCATCTGGAAAAAAAGGGTAATTCTCTCTGACTAAAAAAAACTGTGCCTTTTCTAGATGAGCCTGACTCTGGGGGGCTGTGAAGGGCAGACTGCAGTGTTGGGACCATGTGCAGGTTTAGACCCTGTGGGACATTTCCACAGAACTACTTGAGGCCTTCAGGCCAAGATCTAGAATAATGTGCAAATTAAAAACACATGATGGCAGCTCAAATTTGTGCTCTCTTGAACCTGGCAGTGCCTCTGTTCTAAACCCTACGTCTGTCCCTGAAATGGGGCTGCAAGGGGACATCTGGGATTTCCATTCTTCACCTCTAGTGTGAACCTTTCCCTTGCCCCTTATATTAAAATGTGGCTTTCCAAAGAGCCTTTTGGGCCCTCACACATGTTCATTTTGGACCAGGGCCAATCTCTAGCAGCCTTTCCTTCTTTTAATAGCACTTTTTTTCTCTGTAATGACAGCTGGCATTTTTTTTTCTGAGTGGGGAAATACTTCTGGGCTTACCCTAGCTCTCATCCCCAGGTGTGCGTCTTTCTTTGTCACTGGCCAGTAAATAACAACACACTGCAACACGCGGTGACTGACATTCAAAGCAGGAGCCGCCAGGGCCACGTGAGGGCTGCTGGGGACCTGGAGAGCTCGCTGCAGCCCTCCACGGGCTGAGTGGAGGTGAGGTGATGGTGCGTGACCCTGTGCATGATGCTTGCCGTGGTGGGGCAGCTGGGGCTGCTGCACTCAGTCTGGCCTGGTGGCTGCAAACAGCATCGGCAGCTGCTTCTGGCCCTGCCCTTCCCTCACCTGAGGCATGGCAAGGAGCTTTCTGCCTCAGTTTCTCCATCTGGTGGGGCAAAGACTCTTCTTGCTGCCTGCCTTCCCGTGGTCATGACAGCGGGGGGCTCCCACCTTGCTTGGTGCTGTCCAGGGAAGCACGACTGAGTAAGCAGGCGAGTGCCTTGACTCCAAACACAGCCTGTGTCTGAGGGGAAGCCAGCACAAAGGTGTTTTTGCCTGGAAATGGGATCCTGTGTGGGTGTTTTGGGGGATTGACAAGAGAAGTTTTGAAGGACTTGGCTGAAGCAGCTTTTAGAGAGCACAGCAGAGGAAGTCCCTCCGTGTGACCAACTCGGCTTCAGGGAATACTGCTCTTCAGCCTCTCATTCAGGAAACAAAATTGCATTGCAGAAGTATCTGCCTCTTTCTTTCCAAGCTCCTTCTACAAACTGTCTGAGAGAGCTTCTGGCCGGGGCAAAGAGGAAACTGAAAAATTAGTGTGATCTGTGAATTGTGTTACCTGCACCTCTCTACAGGGTGCTGCCAAAAGCCCTCCTAACATGCATTTAAAAAATTAGGGGGAAAAAAAACTCTTTCAAGTAACCGCGGTTCTTCAGGGTAGAAGATAAATGGGAAAAAAAAAATCAATTTCTTCACCACAGAGAGAGAGGCGTTGCGATGGCCACCAGGGATATCCAGCAATGTCAATCCCAGGTTTGTCAGCTCCTGGATGAGCTGAGGGCTGCGATCACCTCTCCTTCATCCAAATCTGGTAAAAGGAACGACAAATTCATCTTTATCACCCCTCTGCTGGGTTTATAGCTGTCTTTTTGGCAAATTGGGGTGTATGGGGACAGGAACCACCCTGGCAGACTGCAGGTCCTGCTTATGAGCCCGGGGAAGTCAGTGAAGCAATCCTGGTCAGCTGCTGCGGATGTGGGATTTGGCTCAAGCGGTGGATGTGAGGCTCTGGGGCTGGCGGGATAGTTGCTCCTTGATGTAAATAAAGTGACATATTCATTTTCAGTCGTGTGCCAGTGCTGGCACTGTGCTCCCCACCTGCAGAACGAAGGCGTTTGTGGGCTGCTTTCTTTCCATGAACTGCTGGCAGTTGCACCTGTGTCCTTTCAGAGCATGTAGGGGCTGGGGGACACGTTGGAGGGGTGTCATGCCTGCTAGCAGAGGGGCCCACCAAGCCTGCCTTATGGCCAGCTCAATCCACAACCACCAGCAGGACAGTTTGAAGGCTCTTGGTGAGGGTCATCCGCCTGCAGCGTAAAGCCCACGTGGGTCTCCATCCTACCAGAGTCAGCTAACTTGAGGGGGGTGGAGATGGGGGCACTGGATGAGGTCTGGGGGAGCAGACATGTGGGAATGGTGTTGAGAAATTCCCGTTAGCTTATCAGGGAGCACTTACAGCACCAGGACCTGCCGGGCTGAAGGATGACTTTCCTCAGCTTGAATGACTTAAACTGAGAGTAGGCAAAATCCTAGATATGATAGGTTAGGAAAAGCCCTGTGGTGTCTTTGAGTTACTTGATTGGGTGGTTGTTTTCCACCACTGGGATTTCTCTTATGCAGGGCTGTGACCTGAGCCTCTTCTCTTGTCTTTCTCTTCAGGCTGTTTCTTCACCAGCTCCCCCTAAAACTCTGCCATTCCTTGGAAAGACTCCCGTTTATGGCCGTATACCAAATAACAAATGGTCATAGAATTAGTGGGAAAATGCTTAGCAGAAAGGATGGCAAGGCACGACATTTTGAAGTTTACTTCTGCATTTGATTCTTCATGAATTGGATTTCAGAGAATTGGGAAGTGCTGGTGTGTGACAGAAGAGGAACACATGAACAAGCTCACTGAACGCTGTTGTATCCATCGGTCTGACGAGGCTTAAAAATATCTGCCTGCTTCCTTTCTCTACTTACGCACTTTCTGTGATGCAATCCAATGGTGGCACTGCCCTGATGCGTGGAGAAGTCCTGCTGGAAGGAGGGGCAGGGAGGTGGTGTAAGTTGCCCTCCTCACTTCCGAACTCACACGCACCCTGTGCACGTACCCACGTTCGCAGGGGAGCAACGCCTTTGGAGAAGGCCACAAAAGGCACCTCTGTGCTGCTCCCAGGATGGCCCTGGTCTGGCAGGAAGGATGGGTGAACCTTTGATGGCAATCACTAGGCAGAGGCTGTTGCTAACTACGAAACCTCTTGCTTTTAAAACAGATAGTATGTGAGATCTGGGAGGAGATGACCTGTCACTGATCTGCCAAGTAGATTGCTGCACAGACCTGCAAGATAGCGAAAAGAGGATCTGGCTTGGGAAGAAAAACAAACATATTTGACTGGTGATGCCTGTTAGACCACACGTTGTCAAAAGTCATTTGAAAGTTAAGGAAATCACAGCCCCAGCAGGCACAGGGAGGTGTGGAAAATAAGATGCTGCTCCTTTTGTATTCCCTGGTTTCACATGAACCCAGTTTCATGAAGCCAGTATTCCCTGGGTTCATACAACACAAAGACAGTGCCTCTGCACCACTTCTCCCTCACAGGAACAGGTTGCCCAGAGAAGCTGTGGATGCCCCATCCCTGGAGGTGCTCAAGGCCAGGCTGGATGGGGCTTTGGGCAGCCTGGGCTGGTGGGAGGTGTCCCTGCCCATGGCAGGGGATAAGAGCTGGATGATCCCTAGGGTCCCTTCCAACCCAGTTTATGGCTGTATGATTCTATGATCCCTCAGTGTGGATCAGAGGGGAGAAAACACTCCTTATAGAAGACCCCTCCCTTGTGCTCCTGCCCAAGCCCTCAGCAGCAAGAACGCCAACAAGCTTCTTGTTTGACACGGATGTGACAAGAGCATGAGGTCAGGGACCAGGCTTTGTGTCAGGACAGGCGTGTGCTGGATGTGGGAAATGCATTGGTCTCTGCTCTGTCAAAGCAGCCACTGCCGGAGAGCTGGGGGGTGTAAGAGGCAGTGCAGGGTGAGATCTTTTCCATGCTGTTCAGTCATCTGCATGCGCTGGGACTGGTGTGCTGGAAAAGAAACGCTGCTTATCCTACCCCAGCCTCCAGAGCCTTCTCCATTTTTCCACAGAATATCCCTGGCATGCCAGCCGCTTTGATGTGACCCAGCCATGCGTGGCTCGTTTTGGCTGCGATAGCGAAACCTGGGAGGCCGTGCTTGGCCTGACACAAATGTGTCTAGCCATAACTGAGGCAGGATGAGGAACCCGTAGTGCCTCATGCCTCGGCCAGGAGGCAGCCGGCCAGAAGGACTGATTGCACACCAGCTGGAAAGCAGGCAGCTGTACACGTGGGTGGTGGGAGGGGGGAACGAGGGGCTACATTGCCCCCAAGTTCAGGAGATAGCATGTGAAAACACAGCCCAGTGGTAAGGATTTCTGCCACTGAGAGGAGCATAGCAAAGGTCGTTCCTATCATTACACAGCCAAGGCTGGAGAGGTACGTGAGCCAGGGCCTCCAAACAGCCCGCTAGCCTGGCCTCAGTACATGGAAAAAGAGTTACAGTGCAAAACAAGTTTACCAAGGCTATCTATCTCATGCCAGGCTATCCTGGTAGGTTGGTGGGGTTGTTTGTTGTTGGTTTTCTGATAAGATAATTGATTACATAGACAGAGGACTTTGGAAAGACAGCTCTTACAGACAAAACCACCAAGCTGGAGAAACAGGATTAATGTGAGTATCGTAAGTATTTACCTAAAGAAAGGATGTCAGGAGGCTCTGTCCTAAGGGAAAGAAGCAGGGTGGAAAGAGGTTATTAACTGGGCTCCTCAAAGGGCTGATCTTGTTTTCCCAGAAAGGAAACAGGCATCAATCAGATTTGGTCAGATCTGAAGGGCTGGTCGCTGCAGAGATCACTCAGCCTGCAGCAAGGAGAGCTGACGGCACCGAGGGCTGGAATAAGGGCAGCAGGATGAAAGTCGGCAGCAAAAAGTCACAGCTTGTGCGTGCAGAGCCTGGCTGTAGGACATGGTGCTCCCAGCTTGTCCCTGCCATCTGGAAAGTAAAGGGGAAGGGCAGTTCTGGTTGATCATAAATGATGATGAATCCTCACCATTGTGCAGCTGAGGAGAAAGCTGTGAGCAGAGATGAGGTCTCCTCAGGTTGAAGACACTTTAGGGTGTTTATGAAGGCTCTTCTTATTTCCAAAGGTGATCCCAGGGTTGCCAGTGATACCTGCTCAGGCTTCAGTAAACAAGAGCTCAGCTCTGCAATGCCAGAGAGGGAATCTGTGTGTATATACGTGCCTTAGCATGCCTGCTGAATGGGCCAAGCACAGCACCTGTGCCATGAAATTGCCTTGTCTCCTTGTCTCTCTCATGGCATTTCATGAGCATGGTGAGGTCTCAGACCTCACCTCAGCCTGTGCCCTCTCCCAGTGCCGTAAGCAGAAGACAAAATTTTGGTGGAGGAGCTGAATTCAACAGGCAGGCACACCTGAACCTCACGGCGAGTGGATGGTGTCCCTGAGGTCACCAGGAAGGCACAAACAAGTACCCGTGCCCCAGAGGTCTGAGGGTTTCGTCCAAAAAAGTGTGATACCCATGTAAAGGGGGAAGTCCCATGGCATGCACTTACAGAAAATCACTCTTTTTTAGGTTCAAAGGGAAAAGAAACAAACCAACACTGGACACCACATTTAGGCTTGAGGTTCAAATGTTTTCAGGTTTGGTTCTTGTTTTAGGTTGTGGGGGCTTTTGCTTTTGTTTGTTGTCTCCTGAACTCCCCCTCCCACCTTCAAATGTCAACCTGGCAGGTTTCTGGAATTGAGTCCTTTTGAGCTTTGCTTCCTGAAAACCTTGAGTCTGCACTTCCCAAGTTGGTGCCTGATCTGTGTGCCCATTAGCACGATCTGTGTCTGCGGACACATCGGCAAGGACAGATACACAGCTATCTCTAAATAAGTAAATCTGCCAAAAAATGTTGTGTTTGGCAAGAAAACAACTCTAACATGAGGAGTAGCCATCCCACAGGGTGTCAGCGTGACTTTACTGCAGAGAGAGGTTTTGGAGGCTCTTTGTACTAATCCCTCTACCGAGCACATACAGTTCTGCTCTTGGGGTCTGACTCCCATTGAAATCAGTGTTTCTGACACAGATCCATGTCAGAACAGTATTCACACTGTCGTATAGGACAGTTGGTGCTGATTTCATGCCCTCTGTTTGCAATCAGTAGCCGTCCCTTCGCTCTAACCTCATCTCACCAAGTTCTGCTGCTGATGCTGGTTCTAGGGCTCGTCTGATACACCAGTAAATTGATGCATCTCACCAAGATGGCACAGAAAATAAAGTCTATTTTAGTGAGTTAGTTTTTCACTGGGTTAGCACGTTGAACCAGATGCCAAGGGATCACTGAGGGGCGAATGTGCCAGGGTGAGGTTTGTCCCTCTCTCTGACTGATCATACTGAAATAATTCTCAGGATTCTTGCAAGTGTGCAGCACAGAAACCACATACAAGATGAATTAACTGGGGGGGTACTAAAATCAAAACAAGATTTTGACAAGCAAAACTCACTTACAGGGAGTCAGCCCTTAGTCATACTTACCAATTCCCCACGCTGGCAGGACAAACACCCAGCAGACCTCATGTAGAAGGCAGACTCTTTTTCAAATGCTATGTTATACCTCAGTTCATTCATTTTTACACGTGCATTTTCATATCTGTGCATTGTTGTGTTGACACGTGCTTAAAGGCTTACATGCTTACTTAGCAGTGTTTTAGTTTCTCGTCGTCACTGTGGTTTTATGATTAGGACAGCTTGAACTTCGGTGGACCTCTCCAAAATATCTAGGAACAAAGCCCTCAGACACAGCAGAATCAGAGCCTTACTCTTTTTTTTTTTTTTTTTGCCTACTGAGCACAAGGGCTGTCTCAGTTCCCCACGTAGCACAGAGCAGTCCTGTCCTGTCGGGATATGAACCAGATTGAAAATCACTTTCCCCATGACCCAGTCACTCATGCCAAGTAGTACAATGCCTGATTAGGCAGGCTTTCCAGGGGGCCGGCTGTCCTCAGCTGCTCTCTGGCACTGCTCACACCCACGGCAGAGAGGGCAGGGCTCCAGCAGCCCCCTGAGGTCAGGCAGGTCCTTTCTTCATGCCTGAGCACTTCTGCATTCAAATCTCAGCTGTGTAATAACGCAAAAATGGAAAATACAGCCCGGCGTGCACCCCCAGGTGCCGCATTTCAGCAGCATCTCCCTGATCACTCGGCCACTGCTGCCGCACGCAGTGCTGCCTTGTGCCTGCTCTCTGTGCCTGGGCCAGCATCAGTGCCGTCGGGAGGAGGCCACCTCAGCCACAGCTGTGCTTTCCACCCCAAAACTCCTGGGATGGAAAACACAGGAGATTGGGTTCTCCATTACAAGCCAGTGAACCACTCCTGCTGCAAACAGCCTGCAGGAACTACAGAGAGGGGGCAGTGAGGGCTGTGGATGTTAGCTTGCGTGCATGCTGCAGGGCAGAAACCCGCTCTCTCTTTCTTACGTGAGCCACATGAGCGTGCTGGGCTCTTCTGCATGGTGGTTACACACAGTGATGTCTCATAGCAGCAGAGCACAGTGACAGAGCCCACAGTTTGCTGTGCGGGTGACTGAAGAAGGTTAATCCCAGATTATTAAGACAACTTTGTTTTTGGCAAGAAGCCCTGGTGCTTTCTGAGCAGCAAGCATCCGATATCCATACAGCATCAGGACTCGAGTTATATGTCCACTGAATCACCAAACGGTTGAGGTTGGAAGGGACCACTGGCGACCATGGTCACTGATGAGCAAGTTGAACAGGACTGGACCCAGTACTGACCCCCGGGAATATCGCTAGCTACAGGCCTCCAGCTAAACCCTGTGCCACTGACCACAACTCTAAACCAAATTACACTGTGCCAAATAGGGTGGGTGCATTTTGCATTTGCCTAACTTTAATTATTTTCCCTGCTTCTGAGTCATAAGATTTTGTTTAAAATTTATTCACCACTTCTGACTTAATATAGCCCAGCAGACATACTACCCATGCTTTCTGGTGCATGTCACCAAAGCATGCGGGTCTGTGCATGGCCAAGCTGGCACCAAGCACTACTTCATGCCCTGGGCATTTCCACAGCTGGTTATTGCATATGCTGGACTCTGGTGAGGGTCAGGCGCTGTACTTCTGGTAATTCCCCTGTTCCCAGCACACTCTGATAGCCGCAACTCTCTGTCTTGGTCTTACTAGGGCACATGTTGGGACCTTCAAATTACTGCGCTAAGCAATCTGTTTTTTTCAGCCCAGGTCCCTTGAGAACTTGGGTCCAGGGCAGTGGAGAAGCACAGTATCTAAGGGGTGATGTTAGGGAAGGGATGCCAGTAAACGTGTGCAACCTTTGCTAAGCAATTTTAATTTATTAATACAATTTTTCCTCCTTCAGTTGGCCTGAGGGCCAGTACACATCAAATGCCAACCCCCTTGAAGTGGGCCATAGCCCAGCGGCATCTTTGGATGAGATGAGTTTGGAGACCTCTCAGCAAAGGGTCTAGGGCACGAGAGGTGTGGTTCCTTCCCATGTTCTGAGGAGCCAGGGCCATCTGTCCTGCCTTGAAGAAAGTGGGTTGTGTAAGTGAAGCCTGCCACTATTTCCTGAAAGTTCTATTTTTTCTGTAAACAAGAGCATACTTAGGCTCTAATCTGTGCTGAGTTGAAGCATTTAACTTCTTCCAGTCTTGGCATCTTTATGGTCTGAAGGTTGGGGACGGCTAGGGGGAGAAATGAGAGCAAGAAATGTCTTGAGCTGTGGGGTTTTTGTTATTGTTATTTTCCTTTGTAAGACGAAAGTGATTAAGTGATTTTCTGTAACCTGAAACTGCTGGATTTTCCTCTTTCCCCACAAAGTGTTTCCCTTTGTTATTGCCACTGCGTAGGAGACAGCCTATCTTTGTCTGAACAGCTTAATTTCTCAAGACATTAGGACTTGTTTAGTAAGGCTGCCTTTTGTCTTTCTCTTACAGGAAAAACCTATAAAGTCATTTACTTCCACTAATGAACAGATGAGTGTTACCAGCAGAATTCAGTTCATTACTCCGTGTACCTTTTATTTCACATGAAAATATTGGAGCTATTGAATGCTGAGAAAAAATACTTCCTAGAAATGTTAATCTGCTTTGAAATGGGGGTCATTTCTCAGACAAAAATGTTTTTAGGGCACTTGCACAATGATTTTTTGGTGACGTACATCTCTGTAAACACATCTTGGATACTTTCCGTTCAGCCTGGACGTCCTTGTGCTAACAGCATGCAGGCGTGCTTTGAATTCAGATTAACAAAGGTGGGAATGTCCGTTCTTCATGTTAACACCAACCAAAGGGATCCCAGTGCTGTAGCAGGGCATGTGGTTATGAATCCTCACTGGAGAGCATGTGCTGTGTGTTGTTTTTCACTAATTACCCACTTCTGCTCTTTCTGATATATTTCTGCTGTGAGATGTTGACTGAGAAACAGGAGGAGGTGGTGGTTTGGTTGTTTTCAGTAATCAGAAAGTGGTGAAAATAGCAAAAGTCTGATTGTGCTGTTTCTGCAGTGGAGGCCCTGCCATTCGGAAAAATCCTCAGTGGGTCAACATGAGAAATCTCGTAGTGATGTAACTGAACAGTCTTTCCCTCCAGTGTCAATGATTGCTACCACAAGTGCTGATTAGTGAAGTTCATTTCTTCCACACAGCACATACGCTGCAAAATTTCACTTGTCTTTTCTGCTTTTTTTCCTCAACGTTTTGTGTGAAAGCAAAGGAAAAATGTGGTATGTATGATGTTCTCACATCTTCCTCTTTTCCACAGCAATTGTTTTTAGCAGAATTTAAAGTCCGTTTTCTTATTAAATACAAGCTTCCCTTTTCAAGTTGCCATGCTTCTTACACATGTTTAAACTTGACCCTGGAGCACATATAGTTAAAATGCTGAAGGCTTATTAAAGTGCATGAGAAAGCTTATTCCTACGGGACTTTCCCTGTAAATTACTGGGCTTATAGTACCTGCTATCATGCTCACATAAAGCAGCCCCTTTTGAACTGGGACTTCAATACGAGTCCTTCAACTTTGTTAGCACTCCTGACTAAGACCGACTAACACCCCTTGCTTGAAGGGCTGGCTTCTGAGAATCAAGGACATGTGCTTAGCGAAGCTTTAAGTGATGGACACATTATGACTTCTGCCTCTGATCAGAGCAGAACAAAGCACTTGACTGCTGCGCTGTTTCTGTTGTTGCAATCACCTCGCGATCAGGGAGCTGTCTACACGACAGGATACCAACAGCCATGATACTTCAAAAAAGAGAAGCAGCCCTGGCCAAGAATAACATCCTTGAGTTCGGGTTTCTGTGTCCAATCCAGACAGCCTTAATGAGGCACTGAGATGCTCTGGATTGCTTGGTGGGTAAGAAGGGGCACGAGGCTTTCTTGCTACAGGCTGGCAGTCAACAAGGGGGACCCAGCAGAAAAGGCAGGGTGGCCAGGAGCAAGGCTTTTCAGGGGCTGGGAAGCTCAGATACTTTCCCTGGGACTGCTCATCTAAGAGCAAGGTTAAACCCCAAGGAAGAAATGCAGATGTGGATGTAACAGGCTGGGGTTTCTTTTTAGTTGTGATATGCTAATGGCAAAAAAGAAAAAAATTTTTTTGAAATTGAAAATTTTGAAATTGAATTTAAAATGAAAGTGAGATGGTAAACTGCGCAGCTAGAGCAGGGCTGCCAGTAACTGTATAACGATGCAGGATACGTGATTAGACCAGGAGCAGAAAGTTGTGGGGGCCCATCTGACTTGCAGAGAAGCTCAGTCCTTATTTGCCTAAAACGCTGCACTGCTGTATGGGAGTGGTGGGGAGGGGAGGTGGATTGGTGAAGGGAGAGCTGTGACTGAGGGAAACAGCCTATGTACAGCTGAGTTCATGGTATGTTTTTCCTTCTCTGCCTACAAAGAAAACACTTGTCTGTAAGCATTTGTACAGCCCTAATGTCATCTGTATGTTCAAACTGTGTTGGTGCCCCCATTAGAATATGCATGGGTAGAGTGCAAACGTACAGGATTGCATTCAGAGCCCAAATCACGAAACACGTGTACAAGAAACCCCACAGTGGACAGGCACAGTCCCACTCTGACTCACCATCGTGCTCCTCTGGGCTGTTTCATATAGAATGTATTTTTCCCTATGAAAAAGGTGTAACCTGTTCTTGGTCTGGTATTTGATCTCTCTGTAGAAATACCACCTGTTTAGTTATGTGAAAATAAAACCGATTTGTATTATGGCGCAACAGGCCTGACTCACTTAAACATCAGTCCCTCTAGCCTACCTAATTCAAGGCAGCTATACTGGAGAAAAACTGGAGCAACGCAGTGGCAAATCACTTCTGATAAAAAAGATGCGTTTCCTTTAAATCAAAGTAATCTGAATCAGCAAGCCAGAAATCTTCATTTAAATAATTGCTTTTAATTGTTTTGTGTATGCACGTTATTTTTTTTTTTCCCTGAAGAAAAACAGGTTTCCATCAGTGTGTAAACCTTACACTGTGATTATTACCATTAAATATAACCTCTGATGCTATATCTGGGTTCATTTTATTTTCCCATAGGCAGGTGCACTGTATTTGTACAAATCTGTGTTGCTCAGCACATATTTACTCATTTGGGCTCTTACTTACTCTTACTAAGCTATCTCTTTTTATACTCAGGATTTGCTTCCGAGTGCTCGGAAATCGGAGTTGAGCTACAATGTACATCAGAAACATCTTTAGTGAAACAACACCTCTCGTGCCTGCAGAGAGTTTGGGCACAAGGAGGGGACATTTATCAAAAACGTGCTTTGGATCTGAGAGTGACAGAAGCAGTGCGAGGAAAGAACTAGCTGACCCTGACTCAGGACGACCCTACAGCGCTCGCCTCCCTCACCCTCCCCTGGGGCAGGAAGGGGAGCCCAGCGTCGCCCCATGCCCCATTTTGGGGCCCTTTCCTTCCTTTCCGAGCCCTAACACCTCCCAGCCGTTTGTTTTTGGGAGTGCCCCGGGGCGGCGGGGCCGTGGCGGTGAGCGCTTGGCCTCACACACGCCCTGTGAGGAAGCCGTGGGCGGGCGTGAGGCAGCTTATCAGGCCCAGCGCCTGCGCGCCGCCCGGCCTTCCCCCAGCACCCCGGCGGGGAGACAAAGTCCCCGGGCGAGGCCAACGGCCACCGGGTGCCCATGGCCTGGTGCTGAGCCCCTGCCTCTTCCCTGCGGCACCGGGAGGCCTCGCTCGCCTGGTGAAGCCCCGCAGTGACGGGGACAGAGCGGGAGGCTGACTTGAGTCGGGTTTTTGGGGAGGCAGCAGGTGTTGGGAGCTCACGGGTGCTGTGGCTGCCAGCCCAGCGCGGCACGCAGATGGGGTGCCTGGCGGTGATGGCCGGATGGCCACTGAAGAGGTGGCTCGGACTCGCGCTCGTCATGCTTCACCTTGTCACTTTGGGTAAGTAAAATCAACCAGCACCGAGGGAGATGCTTGCAGGTGCCAGGCTGGAGGTGCCGGGCGGTCTCCTCACCTGGGTGGGAGGACGTTGGGTGTTGGCGGGGTGGCTGATGCCCACAGGGGCATATGGTGGGACCCCCCAGCCTACCCGGCGGGGAGGAAGCGGCATGTTGGCCCCGAGGGGCAGTGGTTTCTGCATTTTTTTGGCTGAAACTGAGTTTGTGGAGGGGAGACGGGGCAGGGTGGTGGGCTGTGCAGCTGCATGCCAGGGCTCCCTCCGGCAGCACGGCTCCGTGTTGGAGGACAGCGAGGGCTGTCCCCATGAACCTGCCACAACGCTCGCCAAAGACCACAGATAGCCCTGACCTCAGGAGGCTCGGGGTTCAGTCCTCTATGCTATGTGAAATGTTAACCCTGAAACCACACGAAGCTCACTCCCGAGCTGGGATTTGTTACGGGTGTGAAACAGGCTGTGCTTACCGGCGGTCCTGGTGTTTCACGGCAGCTAACGATACCTGGGAGCCAACCTGGGCTGAAGCGGGGCTCCCATTAAAAATAATGCAGAATTAGGAGGTTTTCATGGTGCTGTTGTGAAACTGTGAGATATCTGATGCTCTCCGCTGGGTTTCGTTTTGACTTTCAGTCTCAGAATCTTAAAACAAAACTCAGAGAATTGAGCAGGGATGCAATCACGGGGCTCGCTTGGGAAGAAGGCAGCCTCGGGCCCCCCTCATGAGATCTGTGCTCGACGCTTTCCCCCGCGCTCCTTCGCTGACCTCTGTGCTTGTGAAGCACATGTCAGCCATGGGCGTGTTGTGCCCGCATTTCTGTCGGCAAATAACCTGCCACGTGCAGAACTGCCTCTCCCTCTAATTTAAGAGCTGGTGTTTTAATGTAATAACAAGCAGGCGATAATTCAGCAGCCCTGCAGTTCTTCTGGAAGGGGTGCTGATTCCAAGACCAAAGACGGGCAGCAGCCAGATCACAGAATCACAGAATTTCTAGGTTGGAAGAGACCTCAAGATCATCGAGTCCAACCTCTGACCTAACACTAACAGTCCCCACTAAACCATATCCCTAAGCTCTACATCTAAATGTCTTTTAAAGACTTCCAGGGATGATGATATACCACTTGATGCTAATAAGCAGTACTGGAAATAGGGGGTTGATAATATTAGCAAACTAGGAGTCCCTGCAATTATTGTACTTTTTTTGGCATGGTTTACTAAGGGAACACTAGTTCATCCCACTGGCTGTCTCTCCACCTGTTTCTCAGGCCCCTGTTTATAACTTTTGATCCCCCTGCCCTGTTTCGACCAAATCCTGCAGGAAGGCAGAGCTGCGGTGTTCTTGCCTGCTGTGTGGAAGCTGCAGGCCCCACATTGTGCCCAGCCAACAGAAAGGGGGAGCGGGCTGTGAGGGGGCTCAAAGTAGGCAGCACGACAGCCCCGAGGGCCTGGGATCAGCTGGGAGCGGTGGGGAGAGGTGTCTGGGCCGGGAGACACCAAGCGTAGGCTTTGGTCAGCCTGCGGCTGGGCTGAGTTACTTCTCTAAATCTGATTGATTTCAAAATTCCAGGGTTTAGCTTGGCAAGACGCAGAGCAAGCAAAAAGCTATTTTGGAAGTGTTGCATCAGCTTTTGGGGTGTAATTGTTAGATGCTTCCCACGCGGTGAGGCGGTGGGGTCCTGGTGCCTTGGGAGCGGGTCGCTTGGCAGACTGATGAGGGCAGCACAGCCGATGCACTTTTTCCCTCCCTATGCACACATACGTACCCTGCCACCTTTCTCTCCCAAAGAGGTATTCCTGCATTAGTGATGCTTAAAAATCCATGGTACAGCATCCACATATGAGCAGTTCTAAAAGCCTCACCAGGATTTTTAGGTGATGCCTTCCTGGGGGCACCCATAGAGACCGCAAGGACCGGCCCCAGATCTTCTCGTGGCAAAACAGTGAAGCCTTGGGAGTCGTGGCCCTGCCAGTGAGTTTCCCTGCCCTGTTGAGCAGGTCACCAGGGCCAGCATCTTCAGAACCGACCCTGTCTGGGGCTGCTGATCACCACGGCACGGCATGGCGTGGGCACCCACAGCCTGTGGCTCCATCGTGCATCCTCGGGCTCGGCCCGTGTGTCCTGGTGCTTGCACACCTTCCTGCTGCAGTGCTCTGAAAGGCCAAAGAGCACGCTGGGGTGAAAGCGGGTGCTCTCCCTATGCTGTATGTCCATAAAATGGTCATATTGGGAATGTCAAGCTGAATTTTTACATGGTGGCAGTAGAGGGCATTGAGGTGGGGATTAATTAAAAAGGATGATTTGAAGATTGTACTGTATAGGAAATGATGCATGCCTAAGCTGCCTCGATATATTTGTTTCTCCCTACATTGAATTTTGCTACTCTGGCGTTCACCTGAGGTGACCCCCTGAAATATCACTGTAATTTAGAGCTGCTCCCAAGATGTCGTCTGCTGCTGGAGACACTGATGAGCACGAACGCCCTGTCGTCTCAGCACGGTGGAAAAGGGGCAGAACAGCCTTGATTACATCCTTGATTACAGCACAAACTTACTTATTTATGGTCTGAATGCAATGCTGGTATCCTTATGGGCTTGCTTTTCTCCTGCCATTCACACCCACCTACTAATCGCAGGATGGCCATGTTCTCCAGCCCCGTTCGAGGTTGTTGTAATGGGAAAATATCACTTGAAGTCTCCCACAATGACCTTTCCCTGCCCCGGGCATGAAGCTGGCGTAGGCACTGGTAGCTGGGACCCAGCCACCCCTGGCCTGTGTCCGTGGAGTATTCCTTTTAGGCTTCCCTGGAGTCTTTTCATCTGACCGGAGGCAGTCCCGTTCTCGGTTTCTTCACAGCCGTGAAATTTTTGGGAAGTTCTGAGGAAAATCCCTACGGCTTTTCTGAGTTATTGGAGAGTTGGGGAGGGAGGGGGGAATATTCACTTCCCTCGGCATCGCGAACGAATGTTTGCCCACAAGTAACTCACTCTGGGAATCCCCTCTCGCATGTTAATACCGATAAAGTGCTCAGAGTGGGGCTAGGTTTTGGAAGGGGGTAATGAGCCTTGAGGTGAAGAAAGATTACCTGTTTCACGGCCTCTCCCAAATGTTCAAGCAGCAAGTAGTGAGCTCCAGGTGCTTCGCAGCTGATTTCCGTGCCAGCTCCAGTACAGGTTGTGCTGAGGGCAGATTGCGTGGTGGAGGTGGCAGAAATTTTTCTTTATGTACAAGCTTTGCCCACTTTGACACTGGATGCAAATTGAGTTTCTATCTTATCACTCTTGCTGTCTTCAGCTTTTTTTTTCTTTCTTTTTTCGGACCAGTTTCTGTCTCCTCCCCCCATTCCAGATACGCAGAAAAGAAATGTCTTCGGTTAAATAGCAATGGCAGCGGAACTGAGGAACTCCTTTCTCTGTCTGTCTGTCTATCCAGAATGAAACCTGCTCTAACAGCCTGTCTGGAGAAACAGAAACCCATCTACAGGCTTTTGCTTATAGACTGCTTTACTATTTCTGGCTTTTTTTTTTAAAATGAGAGAGCTCTTTGGGGGAGAAAAAATAAATTGAACAGACAAGTGAAATTCCTACACAGTCAAATTATAGTTATATGCACGTATATAGAGTTCGTAAAGTTAGCAGTGCAACATTTCTTTCACCCACATTGTTTCCTTTTTCCAGTTAGAGCAGAATGAACACAAATACCTCCGGCGAGCTCTTTACTCTGAGGCCAAAACCTTTTTTGCATTTCTTGGATTGCCAAGGCCTTTGCAGCCCTTTTACGATGTGAATGTCAGGCATTCCTGCATTTAAACATGCAAAGTTTGGGGCCGAAATTTGTGCACGCTGAGGGCGATTACCAGCAGAAGTGGCTGCCCTACACGCCCTCACACCTTTCCCACTCGGTGCTGCCTCAAGCCCCAGATACAGGCATGGTTGGTGGCGTAAGTAATAGGGCATGCACCCTGCTGCTCTCCGCGCTGGGCCTGGCAGAGTTTCCTTTTACCCCTTTTTCACTTTTTTTTTTTTTTTTTTAATTTTCATTTTCCACTTTTTATCCTTTTTGCTTCCTTTTTTCCCTTTCATCCAGCTGCACCCCAAAGTTGTGCCAGGCTGGAGGAGAATTTCCGCCTTCACAGAAATGCTCCATCCTTTCTAACACGTTTCCTCCCATAAGCACTGCGTGCCTTCAACATGGTATTCTTCATGATGTGGCAAGGCAGATGCATTAGACACACTTAAATCTGTTTGTTGACGAAAGGAAGTTGGTTTTGCTTTTAAGGATATGAACTTTATGCTGAATTGTAGCCGTTCTGTCCCCTTGGAGGGGCATCGATATCAGGAGTCTCAGGAGGTCATTTGAGAATATGTAAATCTTTCCCAACGCGGAAATGCCACGGGCTCTGCTTCTGCTTTTTCACTGTTATGCTTTTAAAATATCATTCGTCCCAGGGGACTCCCTGGCTGAAAATAAAATTGCTGACTGCTGGGTGGCACCTCTAGCTACACGGTGCTCAAAAGCCGTCCGTGCCCCAAATGCCCCTGTGTCATATAAAAAGCTAGAAAAGACCATCGAGGCCGGTCCCTCTGCACACTGCTGAGCTCTCTCCGTAGCAGGTACCCTCTGGTGTAATTTTATGTGCCTGACAGACCGAGACTTCATCCCTGTTCCTGGCACACTGCTCCCTGAGCAGACCGTGCTGTCAGCCGCTGCTTGCCACCGGCGGGGAGCCCCGAGCTGCGATGCTGCCGGCTGCTACCTGCAGCGCCCGAGCAGTCCCTGCCGAAGCATCATTTCACTCCCTCTGCGGTTTCTGCAGCTTTCAGACACCCCTGGGCCGCTCTGTTCTGCTTTGGTTAGCCATCCTTCTCTTTAATATCCGTTTGCCAGGCGATGCTTTTATCCAGGGCTGTTCAATCTTTGCTCTAGCCGAGGGGCTGTGACAAGCTCACCATCTGCAGAGCGCCACTGAGTTAGTGCCAGAGCAGGGACCGCGGTGTGTGAACAGGATTTGTGCTGGCAGGCCTGCGGCTTAGTCACAGCACAGGTACGTACATATTGCTGTGGCGACAGGCAAGCACTTCAGACAAATAAAAACTGCGACTTCTCTAATTCTTACGTGAGAGGTGTAACACTGGATTTTCCTGGTCACTGGGCGTTTTCACCTCCTGTTAGTTTCAAGAGGGGCTGGCTACGTGGGGAGCATGTGAGGCAGTGATATTTAGTGAGCACCGAAGAAAATGGGGGCCTTAAGCAGTGGGGGGACCTTGACTTCAAAAGGTTTGCTGTGAGGACTGCAGTACTGATGGCAGGAGCGCTGGAGGAATTCAGAGAATGATCTGAGGACATCTTCAGCTGGGAGATAAATATAGAGGAAGTACAAAGAGATCCAGTCAGCAAGGGACAAAGGCTCCAGGGGAAAAAAAAAAAATAACAAATTTATTTTTGTCTTCATGTGCTACAAATCTCCCCCAAAGGCCTGTCTTACACAACTGCCACATCTAGTTTCTGTCCCGAACTGGGAAATTGTAAGAGTGCTGAGCCAGATGCAGGGATTTGAGCTTGAACGGAACTAAAACATGCAAATCCTCCAAAGGCATCCAAATTTTTTGTTTCCCCTGCCCTTTTTCATCTAGCTGGGTCACCTACTCCCAGTGCAGGGAAAGGAGAAAGGGGGAAGGCTCGGAAAGACTCTTCCCTTCTCTCCTTTCCCCAAATCAGAAATGTCCCCATCCCCAGCGTCCCTCCTCATATACACTGACAGGAGGTAAGAAAATAAGGAAGCCCTCCTTCCTTTCCTCCCTGAGCAACATCCATGCAGAGGGCTCTGCGGCAAAGGGGAGGATATTCAGAAATGATTTAGTCGTCATCACTGTTCCCCCCAAGTACTTTGACTTCTCCTCTCCAGCTCCGTGCTCGGAGGCGACCTCCTGGCTAGCACCAAGATCAGAAATTTGCCAACTGACTTGTGATGTGAAGAGTTGCAATCTTACTCATCTTATAAGCAAAACAGACTGGACATACCCAAGCGGTGGGCTTGTCCCAGCGCGAGGCACTCGTGACTCAGAGAGCGGCAGATTTTTATCTCGAGAAGTTCCGAAACAGGACTCGGGCAGGGCAGGAGCAGGGGGGAGGAGGACTGGCTGGCGGGAGTTGCCCCAGCGCTGCAGTGAGCCCCTTCACCAAAGTGCTTCAGATTCCCTTTCACCTTCTCAGTTGCTAATTGCAGATAGTGCAAGTTTTCATGATCCGTGGAGTTTCTTCAAGGCCAGGTTTTTGTCAGAGCAGCGATTTAGTCGCTACCTCCCTCCCCACATCTGGGATGAGTAAGTGAGCAGGACCTACCAGAAGGTCACCGTGACACTCTCTCCTCCATCTGCCTGGTTTTCATGGCATAAAGATAACCAAGAGGGAGTGAAATTAAGTTTCTGGTGTTTTTGTCAGGAACCTTCCAATGCAACTCTAGTCAGAGGGAGGAAGGCTTTGGCAGGACCTGATGGGAGCGGTGCGTGTCCGAGAAACCAAGCCCACACCTGACAGCACACGTGTTGGGACAGCCGCGTGAGCTTCTCTGAAGCGAGTGTTGCCCACAGCACATAACTTCTTAGCAAGGTGTCATCAGGGAGACAAATAAGATTGATACTTTCCGATTCGTCATCACTAGGGCCCCTGGTTAACAGCCTGCTGGAAAGATGGGCTTAGTGCACATCCCCTGAGATGTGCTGTCTTGCTGTCTGTAGATGCAGAAAGGTCTCCTCTGCTTTTCACAGCTGCTTCGTGGTTCCAAGGATTTCTCCTCTGAAAAAGAAACAAAATTAAAAATAATAAATAATAATAACATTAAATGGAAAAAAAGCAGCTGAAGGAGTGGGGCACAAGAAGTCAAAAGATATGCCAGGGACATCAACGCTGTTGCCAAACTGAGCTGTATAAGGCCGGGCAGAGCAAGGTTGGTGCTTTGCTCAGCAGGAGCATGGCTGTGAGGATGGAAGCACACAAAGGTAGGAAGCAGAGCTGAAACTGCTGAGCAGGGCACCCCCACGTTATGGCTCAAAACCAAGCAGAGCTGAACTTTTAGAAAACCTCTTTGCCCCCGCTCCGTGTCTCAGGCCTGACATGACATCGTAAAGTAGGATCAATCCTGGTTCTGCCCTGCTGCGGGCACACTTGCCAAGGGTGAGCACGTGTGAGGCAATGAGCTGGAACGGAGCCGCTGCCAGATGAAGTGTGTGGCAGCTTTTCTTCAGGATGCCCTTAACCCTCCTCCCTCCCCACATCTGGGATGAGTAAGTGAACAGGACCTACCAGAAGGTCACCGTGACAGCAGCTAAACTGTGACACCGTGAACCAAATTCGGTTCACAGCTGCTTCTCTTTGCCAGAGCAGTGCAGAACAGCTGAGGGATGGATAGCGGCAGTAATTAATTCATTACCGAGGGCTGGGCTGGAGTTTATGAAAGGGGAAAGGAGCATTCCTCTTTTCTCTGTGTGCTGAGACCTCCCTGCATGCTGAAATTGAGCCTGGGCAGCAGGACCCTTGGAGACTTCCCAGGCACTTGTGTGCAGGTTAGTAGCCAGTCCCAGGCTCTCTGAAGAGGGCTGTCAGCACCTACTTTTCTCTGTTTCATCTGGTCTTTCTCATTTCATGAGGTCTTTGTAGTGAAATGCAGAGTGAGGCAGTGATTTTGTCCCAGTGTCTCCACACAGGAATTATCTGAGCATCTGTTGGGCTCTTTTCGGTATATTCACAGTGTGGGTTAGATGACATATGAGGTATTTCTTTCAGTGTTCAAGTGTAGCACAGGATATTTGCTGAGTTTTATCTTCATGGAAATCCTTGAAAGAATCTGATCGCTCACTGGTAAAATTTCCTGGGGTAAAGAAAAGACCAACGGGGAGAGTCCAGTCCAGTTGAGCTCTTCAAATTTCTCAATTTTTAAACTAACATAAAAGCCTGACAGAGCTTTTTGTAGAAGTGTCATTTGGAAAAATGTACAGGTGCACTGTCTTACGTGCTGCTTACTCAGAGGGGCGAGGGACTCCAGGTCCACCACGAAGGACCTTTCCCTCCGTGTGGCTTGCCTTGTGGGTTGTGTGTGGAGCGAGGTGACACAAGGTGAGGCCAAAAAAAAATGTCAAAATGGCTCAGCAGGATAGAGAAGTGGTGGGTGGAAGGGAAGGAGATGGCTTCGGGCTCTCCTTTCCCAGGGAATTAACTGAAGTTTCCAGCAGCCTGACCCTGCTCCTCTAAAGCCTTGCGTGGTCTTTTGCTGCCTTTTACAGGCAAATGTCTCAGCAGTGCTCTGTCCCAGAGGCAAGCCGCTCTCCTGTGCAGCCTGGCCAGCAGAACCAAGCTCTCTGTGGCCGGGGGAATTTCTGAAACCTGGCTGCCACAAGGGATGAAGGAAAGGGGGAAATCTGGTTAAAGGTTTTGTTAAGAATTAAAGATTGTTAAAGACTCTTCTTAAAAAACGTGAGCTCAACAGCCTTTCTGCCCTCTGTTTCAGAGTGAACAAGGAAGGATGCTTTTCCTCTAAATTCACCTTTCTCTTCTAATCAGCCCTGTTGTGTTTAGGAGTAGTTTGAATGAAACACACTTTTTCTGCTGTTTGGTCAGCCCTTTCCTTGGTTCAGCGCCGCGGGCTGCCAGCGGAGGAGCAACGCGAGTGCCCAGTGAGCAGGCAGGCTTCGCGGTGTGCAGGAGGGTGGTTTATTTCTTTTTCTAGAAAAGTCATTAAAAATTATTTCCATGGTGGATACCTCCCCCGCAGCCTGGTTATGGAGAGCATTCAGCGCAGAAATGGGACAGAACTGAGTTTTCATTTTTGCTTTGCAGTTCACCTTTAAAGTGAAAGGGGACTTTTGTGGGACTGAATGACTCTTCATGGACCTTGGTTCCTTCAGGCCTGTAGCATTCAGGTTGCAGTTTCAAGGGTGCAGAGCCTTGTAAGGGTAGATGTGACATCAGCAGGAGTTTCCAGCCCCTGCACATGTACTGCCGAGGAGGTTTTTGTTCTCCTTTTGGTTGCAAAGGAGACTCTTTGGGGCAAGGCGCGGAGAACCTCATGCAACTCATGATGCGATGTCTCACTGACATTTACTGTACGCCTACTCTTCCCCTATTGCTGCAAAAGAAAATAGAAAATACACACTCGACTGCATTGTTATCACCAGGATCCACAGTCCCGAAGCTTTCCTGGCTGCTCCTGGAGGTCTCGCCAGCAATAGTAAGAGCTGAACTGTGAGAACAGGCAACGAAGTGGTCGAGGAAAAACACACACAGACACACACACACAAGTGCACAGCAGGAGGAACTTTGAGAATCACCGTCCCAAATGGGTCGCTTTTAAAGTAACCAGAAGGAAATGCTTTTTCACACAGCATGTAATCAAGTCATGTAACCCATGGGAGTTTTGCTGCGGAAGCCAAAAATATACATGTGTTCCTGAAGGGGCACAGCCTATTTGTGGAAGGTAGCTCCAGCAGTAGCAATAAGCTGCCAACGTCAGGAAGCCCCTAAATTTGTGACTGCCACATGTTGGGGTATGCCAGGTCTCATCCCGTGTAGCGTGCAAGAACTGCTTTTTCTATGCTTTTGGGCCAGTGGCTTTCTGCCACAGGTCAGTGGGCTGAGTGGGCCCGCGCCGTGCCCCGGTCTGGCTGTAGTCATGCCTGTGATGCATTGTAAGGGGAAGTACAGGTGGGGGGAAATCGTGTCGGAAACTATCACCTCCTTCCCTTTGGAAGATGAGCGAAGTGGTGAGATAAAGCTGGCACGAAGCGTGCAGGAGGGACGGGGAGAGCTGTGCTGCGGGGGACGGGGTGGGAGCTCCTTTCATGCCCTGTCAGGGCTCGGGACTGCTAAACTGAGGCTCACCGCCGCCAGCGGTTGGCACTGCACTCAGGGAGCTCTCCCTGTTCAGGGCCTTCCCAGCACCGCTCAGATGTGTTTCCTGAGGTCTCTGCAGGGAAGGAAGAGGGAGTCTGAATATTCTCTGCATCCACCTGATTCCTTATTTCTCTGCTGTCAGTCAGTGGAGTGCAAGAGGTCAGTCTGGCTCCCTCCTCTACTGGAGATAAGTGCTGAGGCAGTGAGGCCTAGGCAAGCAGGGCAACCCCAAAACAACCCGGCCTTGTGGACTAGGGTGTGCAGGGGATGAGCATCACCCCAGAGGCTACACAGACCCAGGAAAAGGCAGACGCATCTACCCTGGCCTTGCACAGGGCTGCAAGCCAATACAGTGCTGCAGGAGCCCCTGGCTCGGTGGCTCCCTTGCGTTGTCTGTAGCCCGGTGCCTGTGAGCACCCACTGCAAAGAGGAAGGGAAGTAGTAATGTGAAGCAGTGGGATTACTGCCAGCTTGGTCAAAGGTCAGCAGTAATGTGCACATTTTCCTCTTGCAAGAGCCCCAGCTTGTCGCTGAAGGTGCACACCTGTACACAGTGCCAGGAGGGAGTTTGGGAATACCTGTGCTGGTTTACAGGTAATCCCCATGGGCCTTCAAAAATATTAATTCGTTTTAGCTAGGCTAGGAAAAAAATGTTTACTTGTTAATACCACGCTAGTATTATGATAAAAGTGTGGCTCTAACCACAGTTTGTTATCGTAGGGCTGCTTCTAGCTTCTGGGATCTTAAAAGGCTGTTTGTGTGTTGTTTTTAAAAAAAAAAAAATAATCAAAAAGCAAATCCCCCAGTCTAATCAACCACTGTGGCCATATTTGGGATGCAGGGACCACAAAGTTAGAGCAGAGACTTTCCCAACACCGAGCTCTGAAAAGGGAGAACAGAGGAGGCAGCAGCTGGAGCACGTATGTTTTTATCATTTCACCCAACAATCATGGCAACTCTTCACTCTGAGGTGTGGTGTTGAAAGCAGCACCAGAGCTTATTTTCAGGCAAGTAAGTCTCCTGCCTTTGCTTTTGGTAATTCATGCTGAAATCATTGCGTGCCTGCTGGCGATCATGAGAAGGGCTGGAGCATCATATAAAAAGGCGCCGCCAAGGCAGTCCTCCCCTCAAGGAGAGCTGAAGCTGTAGGTGAGGCGAGGGGCGAGGTAGGTAAGGGGGTGCAGACAGAGCCGAGATAGGTGAGCTCTCCACAGCAGGCCCTGCCCCAGGGCTGCACCCCTGTCTCACTGCCTTCTGTTTGCCCCCGTACAGGCTGCGCGCTGCCGAAGGAAGTCAAGAGCAAAGTCGGGGAGAAGGTCGGCCTGCCTTGTTGCCATGAGATCCCCAGCTCGGAAAGCCTGAGCAACTACCGGGTCTACTGGCAGAGGAACACCAGGGAGGTGGTGCTGGCCTACTCGGAGGGGAAGAAGATCCCAGATTACGACCAGTACGTGAACCGGACAGAGCTGGACAGCAAGAACCTCACCCTGTGGATCTACCCTGTGGAAATCCTGGACAATGGCACTTACCAGTGTGTGGTTCAGAACCTCAGAATTTCACAAGACTTTTCACCCCGCGTTGTGTGTGATGCGCCCGTGTCCCTCTCTGTTACAGGTAGGTGGGCTGCCTCCCTGCACCCGAGGCTTTCTGGCACCAGCCCCTAGGGGAAAAGGGCACTCCTTGAAGCTTTAGGCATAGTGTAGCAGGTAGCTTTTCATCGGGAAGCCTAAAACAGCACCAGAAAGTCTGTTAAGTCCCCTGTATTTCCCTTCAGGCAGCCTTCCTCTCGTCCTTCCAAAACCACCCCAGATACAGAAAATTGCCCTTTCCTCTCCCACCACCACGCTCCCCTTGATGACACCCTCTTGGGAAAGGCCATCTCCCAGGTCCCACTGCCACTGGGTGCCCTGGGCCACCTCTGCCCCCTGCTGTCTTTTGGGCAAAGCTGAGACCCTCGGTGCATGGGAAGCACCCAAGCCACAGGTGGAGCGGGGTGGTGCTGCTTCTCCTTGGCCCCAGAGGCATCTCCCGTGGGGCTGGCCCGCGCAGGGGCTGCAGGGCAGCTCCACAGCCTGAGGCTGGAGACTTGAGGCTTTCTACCTCAAAGGCAAAACCCAAGTTCCTTTGCTCAAAACGAATCTGAATCTGTTGTTGGAGGCTGCAGAAAGTTCCGCTGACATTATTTTCCACTTGCGCCACTTGTTTTTGTCGTGGTTGGTTTCAACCAAAAGCAGAGATACTGGTAACGTGTGTGTGTAAATATATATATTTAAACAGATTTGAATACCTTTAGCAGCAGAGCTCCAGAAATCCTCCAGAGAACCACTGAATGAGCATTCCCTACCTTGAATGAACATTTGTCAGGGGAAAAAAAAAAAAGCCACCACAAGTTCTTGAGGTTTGGCCACTGCCTGCCTACTTGGGTGAATGAATGTTGGGCATACACACAATGAGACCAATTCAGTGATCCTTTTGGGAACCAATAAGTAAAAAATGGCGCTGCACTGCTGGAACCCTCCCTAGCAGTGGAGGGTAGTATTGCTGAGGGGATCAGTTATTGTGGGAACCAGCAAAGGGAAAGCTCCCTTTGCCACAGCTGGAGCCAGGCTACCCTGAGCGAGAGAGGTGGAGCAGTGTTATGCCCTGATGACTGATCAGGGAGCTTCGGTGAAGCAGACTGGGAGGTTTGAAGGGACTTTCCAGATGTCAAACTGGATGTCAACAGTGTATTGCTCAACAGCGGGCCTGGAAGGAGAGCCGGGTCTGTGTCTGCCACTGGTTGGCCATGCAATGTTGAGCAAGTCTATTTCACTAGCCCAGACTATGGTTTCATGGTCAGCTTAGGCCATGGAAGACATGTTATGATCATAAAGGGACCATTCCCCATTTCCTTGCCTTTGTAGGCTGCCTTCTGCAGGTCCTGTCACTCATGTGGCCAAAGTGTGAGTCAGGCAGGGAGCAACTGCAGACACAACCGTAGCTGCTCCAAAAAGGGCTGTTCTGCAGTGCGATAAGCAACATGCTGCAGCTCTCTGTGTAGCCTGGCCATGGCTGGGGCTGTAGGGAGTGGGCAGGCTGTGGACTTGGAGCTGGCAGGGGTGGGAGGGAGAGAGGGGCAGTTTGGTTCCTTTGGAAGCAGTGGTACTGGTGGATGCACACCCACCAGGAGCCACACGTTGCACTGCTGCTTCTGACTGGTCCCTGTCTTGCCCAATCTGTGGTCCCACAGAGGTTTTGTCCCACGGAAGTGCTGCCTTAAATAGTCCCCGTGCCACCTTTTGCCTCCGCTGAGGCTACTTACTGCAACCCGTGGGCATCCCCAGTAGTGCCGATGCAACTGTTTAGTCATACAATGAACCAGACTGGCAAAGGGATCCAGGCTACCAATGAACCCAGCTTTTTCTCCACCTTCACCCATACCTGTTTTCTCACCTATTTGACCATGAAGCCTCAGAAACACTTGCACCAATACATCTAAAGCAGAGGGAAGGCATGAAACAAGCTGTGTGGGTGGGTGGGAAAGCTCCAAAAACCAATTATGGCAATGCCAAAAAAGTCTGGTGGGAACACGGTCTGTGTTCGTCAGAGGAGGACCTATGGATTGCTGTGCATCTTTGCAATTACCAGTATGACTGGGTCTTGCTCTCAGCTGAGCCATCTGGGGGCTCTCATAAAGAAACTATAATTTATTCTGGAACTGGCCATCGTGGCTGAGAGGCCAATGTGTGACTAACTCTCCCCCCCAACAGAGATGGACCCTCTGTGAGCTCCAGGGTGGGAAAGGACAGGGCAGAGTGTGTGGGGGGAGGAAATAGTCTGCCATTGCCTCTAATACAGATTTTTGTTCCACTGCTTCATAGTCAGTCCAGTCTTATGACTCTGTTGCTCCACAAACTGCTGTATGTAGAGAGGAACAGCAGCACTGGAGAGGTGGCATCACAAAGTTTGTGACACCTGGGATAGTGATCAGGAAGGAGAAGAAGCAAAGGTCAACACTACATCCTGTCAAGGCTGGGGGGAGGATGCTAGGGCACAAGAAAGGCCAAACAGATTACCACAGAGGGAGAGTGTCCCATGGGAGAGTCTTTACTTTTACCATGGGTGACCAGGACTGTGGGGAATCTGACGGAATGGTTTCTCAATCTTTCTTTCTTCAGCTGACTTCAGTGAGCCAAACATAACATCAAATGTCATTAATACTACTTGTGAATCAACGGAGATGGTGGTAACATGCTCTTCTTATGGAGGTTTCCCCAAACCCAAAATCTCTGGATTCTTCAACAACGGGTCCCTCGTCTGGAATACCACCTGGGTGTCTGAGTCCAGCCTCAGCCCATACAATGTCACAGGGAAGCTGCATCTCAACGTGACCAAAGACATCAACCTCACTTGCTCCGTTGAATACAATGGCTTTGTCAAGTCCACCAGTTTGCTTCTAAGTAGGTTTCCATAATTGTATTACAAAAATGCTTTGCTGAACCTGCTGATTGGCCTCTTTGAGAAAGCAGTAGATGTTTGTATACCTGTTCATGCAAGGACGACCAATGATCCCACCTGTGAGCTGCACACCAAAATATTTCAATGGCTCTAAGACAGCAGGGATGGTGGAGCAGTTATAGCTGTTTCTGGTGAGCAGACGTGGCTTTGGCTTCCTGCTGCTCTGTGGTGGGCCACAGGTGGGTTGACAGGGCGGCCGGATCCCACAGCCTCAGTGGCTCACACAGGTTGGGATCGGCTCCATTCAGTGCCTGTCTGTACCAGCATGGTCTTGCTGCCAACTGCGTGACACAGACCAGGTATCTGAATGGAGGGACTTGAGAAACGTGTGTGCCTCAAATGCCACAGGCTGTGCTTACGATTTCCTCATTTAACAAGCGTGTTTCTTCTTGCTTTAGTGACAGAAACCATCAGCTGTGGTCTAGACAAAATTCTGCTTTCATACATACATTAAATATAGGGTTAAGTCATATGGATAAAATTGCTTGTGCTTGGCTTAAAATTGATAAAATAATAGGTAAGTGTGTGCCTTGAAAAACTTGAGGGACAAGTGGAAACAGCATGAGGCAAGGCAGCATGCTACAGTCCACATGTTTTTGCAGTAGAAAGAGATGCACAATAAAATTCTTAATGCCAAAAGGATTGGTTTTTTTTTTTATGTTGTTACCAGAAAAAGTATTTTAAAATATGTCTCTGGGTCTGATGGTTTCACTGTAGAGATACAGGCATCTTCAAGGGAAACTAGTGAAGTGCTGTTGGTTATCCTAGGGAATTTTACCTTATTCATCAAGGTACCTTATTCATCAATCTTACTGAAGTCGAAGGGGCTTGTGAGGAGAGGTGCCATTCAGTTTCAGGACGAATGCCAGAAACTAGTGCTTTATGAATTTTGGTTATTACTGAATGTAGCGCATAATCTCCCTAGAGATCATAATAGAAGGAGGTTACAAATATCATACTGCATAGAAAAGGAGAGCAACAACAAAAAAAATAGTAGTAATAACAATACACTGTCGTCACGTTCTCAGAAAAGGAAGCAATCGGCAATGAGAACAGCAGCCACAAAAACCCTGCCTTTCGGCTTTTAAGAAGTGTAACCAGTCCCACTTTGGTACAATGCAAATGGTCTGCTAAATGAGTTTTCCATGAACACAGAGTTCTAGACAGAATGAATATAGCTTCTGGTAAACCCAGGAGGCAAAACCTACAGTGGGAGACACGTGGGGCCAGATTGTGCAGTGGATCAGGCTAGGGTCTTAGGAGTTGAATGAAGCTTAATTGCACTAGAAGCAGAATATGAAAATCTGAAGACTGTGAACATGTACCTGGTGTGTCCTTTCCATTGAATTAGGGTTGTCCTGTGTGGTACACAAACGGCCTGTTACCTACTCTCATTTTTGAGTAGCAGAACAGTTATCTCCAGCAGTGCAAAACAAAAAGACGCAGATCTGCTGAAACTGAACTCTGTCCCCAACCCCTTTTCCTTCCATGATGGGACTGACACCTCCAGTCTATTAAATACCTCTTGTTTTCCATCGCCTGTGAATTCAGAGATGAAAATATAGGCATAAACCAGGCGAAAGCAGCAAGAAAAACTGCAGAGTAACACTAAGAATGGAAATTTCCTGGATGTGGGCTCTGTCTTTTCTACCAAACCTAACCAGTTTCTTTAAAAGGAGCTTATAAGCCCATCTCAGTCCTGCTCTGAACAGAGATCCAGCATATGGGATGCTGTGGATGTGTTAAAATTTCAGCAAAAAGCAAGCGTGGGGGAATGGGAGGGCCTCTACAGGTTAGGTGCCAGCTTTGTCTGTTTGTTTATTGAATGTGTGCTGAATATCCCAGGTTGGATATCCCAGTTAGGATTTGGCCAGAACCACCAAAATTCATATACCTTCTCTTACATGAAAATGACAAAATGTTGTTGGGCCCTTTACTTACGTTTTGTTTCTTCTGTCTCAGCAAAAACAAATGACTGCATTGCCCCTACCATGCCTCCATCCTATAATGTCATTACTGCTACAAGTATCATCTTTATCATCTTTCTTTTGGCTATCACCCTAGCAGCAAGATACTTCCCAAGGCATGGTAAGTATAGCTCCTTTATCTAGAAACAGTCCCTTTCTGTTTATGGAGTATCTATGTAAAATACACTTTTATAGAAACTGTACTGACACAGTAGGTATTTTTGTACCTCCTTCTCATTTCCTTTTTTTTTTAATGCAGCATCTACTATCACAAAACCTAAGTCCAGCTCAGGACTTTCCTACGTTTTGTGCACATGCAGCACTAAGCGTTCTGCTTTGAGAGTCCAGAGCTGTTGGGGGTTTTGTCTGCAGATCAGAGTATTTCCAGAGAACAGGGGTATACAGAGCTGGATTCACAAAGGTCCATTTTTATGTATTAAGATGCTTGAAGATGCCAAGAATCTTGGTCATCACCATACATACAGCTGGGCACTATCAGTTTCAAAATGGGATCGATCTGTCCACATACCCTACTTGGACAATCCGTCAGAAAAGTCACAGAGCCAAAGTTACAAAAGTGTATGGTGCTAGGGCCACAGGAAGGACTTTAGTACAGCGACGTCTCACTTTTAGAAGAACCCCAATCGGGAGACATGGATTTGTCCTCTTTGTTGGTCCAAAAAGGGCAGAGGTGAGGTGCCAGGTCCTGTGCTATGAAATTTTCAATAACTTGAAACATGTCCATGATTTTTTTGATTGCAAAAGGGACCTCAAGCATCTCAGGGTTAGGTGGCAGCTGAGCAGATTTTTTTGTTTGTTTGTTTGTGGCTCAAAAATCTTACTTACTAGCTGTTGCTCCTAGTGTTGTCTAAGCTGGCCTAGCCAGAAAGCCCCTGAAGATGCGGGTAGGCATCTAAAGGATGTAGAAAGGCAAGTTGGCACCCAGCCGGTACTGAAACTCAACAGCAGCACACGTCCTGTCAGTGCCCTGTTAGTAGCTCTGAAAAGCAGTCCTGCAGGAAGACAGCAGGCTGTGCAACGTGCTATAAATATCACCCAATCGAGCTCTGCCAGGTCTCTGGGGAAGTGGAGGCAGGAGACAAGAATCCCACACCGAGAGCGCTCAGCGCGCTTGGGCCAAAAGCCACCAGACTGCGCGTCACAGCCCATCACGGTCACAGCGGTAACCATCCCCCTGCTGGAAAGAGGTCTCTCGTTAGGCAACAGGGACTTGGTTCACTCGGGAACACGTGAGTTTGTCATGTTCCTGTCTTCCGCTACCCCTGTTACAATTTCAAGCAAGGTCACTCACAAGTCAGGGCATGGAGGTGGTGTTGCTGTGCTCTTCCCCTCGTCACCAACCGCACCCTTTCAAAAAGCAACGTGACCGCTGCATCAGGCTGGGATGATTATCTTTTGGCACTTTATCACCAAGAAAGGGAGCATCTGGAAGGCAGGAACCCTCTTAGCCACACCTGTGCACCTCCAGAGTGCTGGCTCTTCCCTGGAGCCACGTCGCTGGGTGAGCAGTAACCATGCTGAAAACATGAAAACCACAACCCAACACAGCCTGTGCTGTTAGCTGCTGCGTGGACAACGAACTTCTAGTTATGGAAAAAAAAAAAAGAAGTGGAATTGAAAGATCTGTCTCTAAATAAGTGCAGGATGGAAATTAAAAGGTCTCCTGCTATTAGCATTCTGAGGTAGCCTTTTATATATAAACCAGATTGCTTTTAAGGTAGATGCAGGAAGCGTACCAATGCAGTAGAATGACATCACCTGCACTGTCAGGAGACTCAGCTGCGTATACTCCTTTTTAGTCCCATTTTCCTAACACGCACAGGGAGCAGATCTGCCGAGTCAGGTGGCACAGTCACTTTCCAGACCATGTGAGATGTAAGAAACCAAGGCTGGTGTTTCAAACCAACTTCCCAGTTTGTACAGCTTGCTGCGCTTCGGTGCTTCTGTGCGCTACCACCAGTCTGGGAAGGGAAATGTCTGTCCTGAGAGTGCTTCCCGCTGGTGTTGCTGCAGATCACCCTTCAGGAGATGATGTGGGAGCTCAGAGTAGGTCTGAGAGTATCTCTGCTGCTCTGACATAGGAAAAGCTGGTCCAGGAGCTGCCGTGGTGCTCAGAGTCACTTCGGAGCTCGAAAAGCCATGCTTCAAGGAGCTGAAGTGTGGGAGGGAATAGAAAGAGAGAGCAAAACGGAAATAAGGGTTCTCAGATGTGTGATTGTGGTGGTGACCAAAACATGTAGGTGCTTTGTTGAGGTTCACACCCCCTAATCTGAGGAGTTTGCTGCATTTAGTAATGTGTACCTTTTACCATTGTTTCCCTACAGACATTATCTTAGCACGTGGCGACCTGTCTTTGTATCAGGCCGACATTCTAGCTCTGTGCTAATGTGAACAGTTTTATCCACATGACACTATATAGGTAACAGCTCTATATAAAGGACCTTCCTATCAGATCAGACTATGTCTGTGGGCTAACCATATTCAGATGTACTGCAGGGATGAGCCCTGCCAAGGAAAAATAGGCATAACTAGATTTAAAAGACTTTTGTTTTCTTTGCTTTACTTTCTTGAAGAAGACGTTTGCATCAAACACTTTGATCTGCAGTTCACAGAATCACAGAATGGTTGGGGTTGGAAAGGACCTCCAGAGATCATTGGGTCCAACTCCCCTGCTCAAGCAGGGTCACCTAGAGCACATTACACAGGATAACTTCCAGACGGGTTTTGAATACCTCCACAGGAGACTCCACAACCTCTCTGGGCAGCCTGTTGTAGTGCTCTGTCACCCTCACAGTAAAGAAGTTCTTCCCCTTATGGCAATTGACTTCGAATCCCAAGTGCTAATGAGGGATCTTCTCTTTCAGCCTGTTTTCATTGTTCTAAGAATCAAGACCCAATGGACGAGGATGAGAAGGAAAGTATGAAGCCACCCACGATCTCTAAAATGACATCTGAAACATCATCAGTATGACCAGATCACATTTGCAGGTAATTTTGTTCACCACTCCTCTCTTGGCAAAATAGATTCTCATGCAATGTTAGCTCACAAAACCGTGCATGGTTTTGATATGAGTGTGCACCTTAGCATAAAAGTGGTAGGGCTCTACTGCCAGTTCAGACTCATGGTATTTCCCAGCCATGGGATGAGGCTCATGTTGCTTGTGGGGCATTGCCTTCTAGAAATTATCTAGTGAAAAATGTTAGATGTACTTATGTACAAATGTACTCATTTGCGAGTAGTGTATCATCTGCTGTTCCTCTCTAAGACTTCCCCAGGAACCACTAGTATTAAAACCCTAACTAATATTAAACAGTAATATTGAAAGGAGTTATTTTTGTTATGAGGTGTTGTAAAGGACGGTACAGGAATGGCTGGGGAACAGTCTGGCTTACCGAGGGTTTATGACTGTATACACCGTGGTTTGAAAACTTAGTTGTGTTCAGGGCTGTGTCCTCCAAAAACACATTTTCCAAATCAGGAGGCTTAAGGAAAGATTAACAGCTAACTGTTACTGCTTGTCTCATTATCCAGGCGACTGTATTTCCTGCTCTCCCCTCAGCATGCTGAATTGCCAGGGTGGTGCCACAGAGTAGCAGATGTAGAGTCCTAGAAGTCATGAATTTGTCACACTGTGTTGCAATAATCTAAAGGCTTAGAATTTTTTGAGACAGGAAGAAGGGGAAACTATCATTCAGGCCACTCTTCTCATTTCCAAACTTGACCACCCACTCATATTTTCCTCTGGGGAAGGCCCTATCTGGAACAGATACTAAAACCTTGGTTAGCACGAATCCTGGGGGGTTTTGTGAGTGCTGTTCACGGGTGGGAGTTCACCTACTGGATAAATCCATTCTGCCACATTCCTCTTTTGTCATAAAAGTTTTCCACACTTTTTTTTTTTTTTTTTTTTTGTAAGCTGCTGTTATTTCCCAACTCCATTGACTGGAACAGCTGCTGTCTGCGGACAGGGATGGAAGCTGTACATCAGGGCAACGTATTGCTTCCTCGGTGGCAGACTGTAATCTCGTAACTTTGCGATGCACTGAGCCATGTCCTATTGCTGCTTAAATAGGGCAGCACATTCATTAGTCACCCTCTCTCCGCTGAGGGATGGCACCTCTGTACGGTCCAAAGGTTTTCACAGCAAGCAGGTGCCAGTCGGTAGCTCAGAGTAGGGCCCATCTTGAGCTGTCTAGTTCTGACCAGCTGGTTTTACTGTAATAGGAGCCCTCTTGTGGACTATAGCAGGTGATCCCAGTTTTTCCTCTCTGCAACATTTTGACTTACATGTGGGATTAAAAAGAAGGGGGGAAAAATCAGTAAAACGTTTTTTTTTTTCTTGTGTCCCTCAGGTTTCTTATCCTGTGTATTCTGCACTGCAGTCCCCACCGTTCTCTACAGCAATGCTTATTGCGTTGACCCTTTGGCTCTCTGGAAGGGGATGACAGCAGTAGAAAAATTTGCTCAAGAAGACGGACAGCATAACCTTTTGTGACCGAATACAAAAACCCACCTATGCCACAGAAGCTGTGGGGTGGTCCTGTTACAATGGGGTTGCTGGAATTCCAACTGGGAGGACCCTCCATGTTCCTACAGCAGGTAGAAGAAGAATGCCGTCAGCATTGTGCTGCTCCAGCACGCCAGTGCAGGACTTTGGGATACTCTGATGCTGCCTCTACAAAAATCAGGGGGCCTGCAGAGACCTAGAAGGTAGCCCCCATCCACCTACCCCTGTAGTAATGCAGAGCTGGCCCCAGACCCCACCACAGTCTCAAGTCAGGCTGCACCTCCACAGTGCAACTGGGAGCAGCTACAACTCCTTATATTCAGCCTCGCGCCGGTATTTGCCAGCACTGTTCTTTGTGCCGGACGAGTCTGGATTTAGACTTGACCATTACGGATATGTGATATGACATTCCTTCTTCCCCAAAGCGGCAATAATCACACTTTTCAGGAAACAGCACCTCGAGGTGGAAGTACACACCTCATGCTCATTTTCAGCGCTGTGAGACTTTGTAGGGAATGACATATACTGACGGCACACCTAGCAACTATCTAATATTGCTTACCTACAGCAGTGGCACAAGTTCTCATAACCTTTCTCCCCTGAAAGGATGGCCCTGCCAAGCCAGGTATGAAGACGCAGCTCCTCCATTAAGTTACTCGGGTTCTGACACAGCCCACCCCACTGGTGGTGGTGCACGTGAGCACACGCACATGCACACGTATACAAGCTCTTATATGCTTGTTTTATATGCTTCCTACCTGCACTTGTTGTAAAGCCCAGATTAAAGGTCTGTAACACTCGGCGGTTAACTTACACGTACCTACAAGAACGAAACTTAAGTCAGGGCCTTGCTCCATAAATACGGGTCTGCTTGTGTTTGTACATTTGCCTAACAACAGTTATATGGGTCTCCATTTTTGGGGGGGAGTCTCTCTCAGTGACATAGGGATTTACTTTGCTTTGAATGCTGCTGCTTTCTGTCAGCGTTCTCTCTACCCAGCCAGGACTTGAAGGAAGTTCCCTGCAGGATGCTAACATGGGATAGGACTCATCTGATCTGGGTGATATTCTTGCCTACTGTGTAGGAAAAACTGGTTTCTCATTTTGAGGGGAAAAGAGGAGAAAAAGCCCAAGCCCCAGCAAGCTTCCTAAGCAACTATGCATACTAACCTAACTCAGAGAACTCACACTCCCGAGTATGCATACTAACTATGCATGCTCACCTAACTTATACCCAAATATGATAGTGCTGTTTTGTTTTCTCCTTCTGTTCTGTCCTACTGCAAGCTGTACCTGTTACCTTATTGCTCCATTCATGTACGTATTTTAGCAGGGTAGACCAAAGTCTGAAAGCGCCACTCCATCATCTTTGTGGGAGATTTTGTTGCTCAAACTCTCTATCTTGCTAGGATGCAGCACAGAAATATTAATTTCACTTATTTCTAGCAGGTAAATATTGAGAGAAAAATTGTTGGAGGAAGCAGGAGCGCTAACAGCAGTTTATAGAGGATTGAGCTATGAGAGGTGAAGGGATCAGGGCGAGTCACTAGTGAAAAATAAGACACTGCTCTGTTTCTGCTCCTGCAGAGTCATGCTGCCCCATCAGCATTTTTCCGCCTTCCCATTCTATGAAGTGAAATGGGAACTTCAGAACAGTTGTACTGAGGGGATTTTGACAGATAAAAGGAGATAAGGTTGCCACAAGGCCCTCAGTAGGTGACAGGGAACCAATGTTCTTTGCACGTGTGCACTCATTGCAGGCAGGACAGGGGTGGCACAGAAGGCAGCGCTACCAAAACAGCAACCTGACCTTATCACAGGAAGGCTGCCAGGGAAATGCGGTCTTGTGCTTTTCATGTTTCAATTTCTTTCAGCCTACATTTGTTCTTTCCAGCACAAACTACCAGCTTCTTGCAGGCTAATGCCCTCTTTTTAACTTCCATCATTTCCAATGTTTCCACCTTGCCACCCACGCTGCAGCCCTGACAGCGGTGCCCGCACAGCGTCTCCCCTGCGACCGTCCCATGCCCTGCTTCTGCTCCTGGCTGATAGCACGGGCCTCTTGAGAAGGGTTTGTCTTTTGCACAGTGCCAAACCTTTCTACATCACACCAGACTCCAGTGACACTTTAAATAACTCCTTAAAAAGGAAACAAAAACCTTCACTGACAAATATGTCTAGTATCAGTTTGTTTTTATACTCTTGATGGGCAGGTTGTTTGGTTTATTTTTTTCCTTAAGCACTTACATTATGAAACATGTTTTCTATTGCTTTATGCTGTATTCAGTGAATTGCACACAAATGGTTTCCATGAGACCTTTTCAGCTTTATATCTGGGTCATTGTACCAGGTGAGCTGCTTTGTTTATCGCAGGTATTTTGTATATAACATTTTTTTTTTCCATGGATTCTCCTTTAATTGTATTAAAAGTGAAATGGTGAACTCGGTGTCCTTTCCTCAGTAATAAAAGATGTCTGTTCTACATCCTGGGAAGTGGCAGAGCCTTTCAATTATTCATGAGCCCCATCCACCATGTCTCAGCTACTAAAAACGTGGGCTGTGTAGCAGCAAGGTAGGCGATGCAGCTGGCTGATGAAACCATTACACTGGCTACAGCTGGCATCGAGACCCAGCTCTGTTTGGTGTGCTCAACAGCGATGACAAAGAGCACTCGGGTACCCAACTCCTAACTTCCACACATCTCATGTTTGTGGATCTGCCAGGGATTAACTGAGGAGCTTAGCTGTGTGGCAGGTCTTTCTTTTCTCCCCCCAAAAAGAGAGTTTCTCTGCAAAAGCAAAATCTGGCGTAAAATGTTCCTACTACATCCCTGCTACTTGTGTTACCTACCCTGCAAGTGGACAGCTGGTAACTTCTGCATTGTGCTTTTCTGGAGGTGGGGGGAGTGAGGAAACCCTTATGTTCGTGTTTGAAGAACGCTCTGAACCAACTCTTCCCACAGTCTGGACAGTGACTTTGAGTACAAGAAATGAGGAACCACCCTTAGCAGGAAACAGAGCAAAAAATGGCTGTCCATCTTGAGTTGAATGTAGATGAAAAGTCTGTGCTTCCCCTTGCTAAAGGGCTACGTAAGGACATCGAGCACTCCTTCCTTCCTTACATGGAGAAAAAAAACACACAGGACTGCTACATCTTGGCTCTGACTGCTCTCCCAAGGAGGAACGCCCCTCATCAATGGTCACAGACACAGGAAAATTAGTATTCCTTAGGTGTCACGTCAAATAGGCACTGAGAGGCATAGAGAAAACCGAGCAATGACACAGCTAAATGTCATGAGAACTGCGGTATGGACAATAAAATGTGTGGGATAATGGGTGGGGATGTAAAAGGAAAAAAAAAGGAGAACAAAGACAAAACATTCCTGTTTAACTACAATGGCAAAATGTGACTCAGAAGGGCCTATTTTGTCTTTTGAGGGGGCAGAGGATAATCACACCGATGTACGTGGAGTTTAAAACCAGAAGAGGCAGAGACCTCTCCATAGCTTGCTTCTTCACATCCTTCACTTACACAGAAAAGGGAAATCGAAGCTGGGTGATGAAAACCCTGAAACACATGCACTTCTTCAAAGGAAAAATGAACTACACAGTGTTTAAAAGAAATAAATGATCATTTCATAAGTTAGAAAGCACAACACCTTCTTGGAAGCAAGCTGTGCCAAAAAATTGTTTTGGGTGGGTGGAACACACTCTGTGGAATCAACTGTTCGGATTTCATTCAGCAGTAATTAGCTGTAACAGAGGAAAGCGTCCATGTGGAACAGTAGGTGGGAAGGAGACCTGAACCCCCCTGCCTGTGTGTAATTCTCTTTAACAGGAGAAAAAAAAAAAAAAGAAAGGGGACCAGGACTCCGACTTCCTTCTGTTTTGAGGGAATGTCAGTAGGCCGCCTGGCCCTTCTAGGTGCGGGCCATTGATGAACCATCTTCAGCCCTACTCACAGGTAATGTCTTACAGTTACCTCTGGTACTAAACAATAAACAGAGCTGGCACCCTGCTGGTTCTTGCTACCGCCTGGGCAGGGGCAGTCTGACACTGCCACCAGGCTTCCTTGCTTCCTGGTGGGATCTTAGATGGAACCCTTCTCGTGGGACATGGCTCCAGTGTGCTTCTCTAATGTAAACGCTGTACTAAGCATGCAGAGATTATGGACACAGTCACCACTGCCAGATGGCTTTATTGAATGTCACGAACCCCGAAGGTCATTTCCCCCAAAGGCAATCCCCTAATTTCCAACCTTAAAATGAAGTTAGAGAATTTTTTATTGCTGTTAAATCTGTCCACGGTGCCAATTCTTCCACCATGACCACCAGAAATAAAAAGGAGCCTTTCTGTGGCTCCTCTCAGCCACACTTTAACTGAAGAACTCAAACCGTGTCTTTTTCAGGGTATTTCCTTCTCTCTCCCAGCTCCTCCACCCCTCCTCAGCACTGATTGTGAAATACCCTCAGTAGTCAAGGAGACAAGTGTGTTTTTCTGTAAAAAAGCCTGAAGAAACCACCATCAGTGAAAGAGAATCGGTCCCTGCCAGGCAAAGTCCAGGTGTGGGAAGGCGATGGTGAGAGCAGGAGGAACGCTTGCTCTGGGGCTGCGTGTGCTGTGCTGACAGCAAGGTGTTCGGGTGCTGTCTGTAGCACAGCTCGCACTAGAGCACAACCAGATTTTGGAATCGGGGTACCTTTAGCATCCAAACTATTAACAGGCTCCTTTACCTTCGGTATTTCTACATCGCCAATGGCTTGGGCATTGTCAGCAGTGCAATAGGTTCTAGAAGAGGCCCTGGGGTTGCCCTCATCCCCAGCCAAACCTAGCTGGCGCTTGCTAGTCTGGACAGTCTACACGTCCACTTTCTGAAGTGGAAGAGGTTTGGCCTTTCCGAGCTCTTGTGCAGTGACACATGTCCACAAAAAATATTTTGGGCAAACTGCGTTTTCAGAGGTGCAATGGATACACCTGCATTCACAGGAGACTTCCGTGACCCCTTGATTGAAGACTTTTATAAGCAAAATCAAAATACTTTGTAGTTGCTTATGACAGAGATTTTGGGGAAGACTCAGTAGCTCCTAGATTCTTTTGCTATCTCCATCTGTGGTCCTTCCAGGGTGTTGCTTTCCATTTGGCCCAAGACTTCGGTCACACTAAGCCTGGATTGCCTAGAGAGGGTAAAGAGAAGGCAAGCATATTCCTGACAAAGGCATCCCTGCAGAATCCCATCTCTTTGAGAGAATTTTCTTCTAGAACTGGCACTAATTCGTGAGTTTTACATGCAGTCAGTGTCACAGCCCCTTCTCCCCAAGCAGCTGTCCTTCTTTTTTCCTCTGTTTAGTGGGAATGGAAGGAAGGCAGCAACACAAAAAGCAAGAGTTCCACCCTCTCTCAATTTTGGTAAAGAAACACTAACGTGCACTAAGACACATGCACCTCTCCTGCTTGTCTCCTCAGACATCTAAAAGCGAAAAACGGATGCAGTTACTGTGGTGGGGAGCATAAAATCTGAACAAAACTTGCTACAAAGTAAACAGCATCATCAAACACTGGGAAGGTTAAATCAGCAGTTCACAGACTGACGTGGAACAAACCAAAAATTAAAGAGCAGAAATGAGGTTTACAAAACCTAGCATGTCACGGTTTCTCTCAACGTTTGAGCCACACAGACCTAGACACACCTCTAACAAGACTTAACAGGCAGCACTGTCCCTTACCACTCTGCCAGCTTCTGCTCATACTGCTCCCTGCGCTCACGATTTCTCTTCTCCTGCAAGGTTTCACCAGCAAGATTTTGGATGAATATTATGAGGCCCCCTGCAGGGATCCTGGAGAAAGAAGGAGAGAAGTCAAAAGTCACCCAGGGGACACGCATTAGTAATAACTTACCGGCAACAGTAAAAGGAGCATGCGGGGGCCAGCCACCAAATCACTGGAGCGTAACTTTCCCCAGTACTCAAATCACACCACAGACTAAGGTACTCCTATTCTAATGTCAGCCACCAAATGCAGCCTGTCTTCAGCTGTGACTCACTGTAGCCCCTCTGATATTATATTTGGAATTTACCCACCAGCAGGCACACCTAAGGCAAGGGGGTGAAAGGTCTTAACATGCCCAAACAACAGCTACAGATAACCTAGTCCATAATTTCGGCAGTCATGCCCCTGCTTAACTTCTGTCCGGCTCTGGAGGTACTTGTGTTTTCACTGAGTGAAATGAGAATGAAAACTTGTGTTTCTCGTTTTTACGCAGATTGCTAACCTACTGGCTGGCAGCTCCCAGGGTGCCCTGCTGTTCAGAAGTTGCCATCAGGTCATCCAACACCCCTCAGGTGTTCAGCTCTGGGTTTGGAGCTGCTAGAGGAGCAGTTGCTGACACTGCTGAGAAGGGAGCCCAGAAACTGCATCTCTTACACTCCTGGCCTTAATCCCAGACAACACAGATCCTTAAAAGAGATGTCAAACTGCACAACCAATTGGCTCGTTAGGGACCATGCCAAGGAAGGGACATGGAAGACACTTCTAAACTCATCCTCATCGTTTCCCATTTAATAGTAGTTAGCGCAACCAGCAGAAAGATGCACCGAGTTCTTATTACTGAGAAAAACAAAAGATAAATCCAGAAAGAAAAAGCAGTTAAGCATCTGGAAGAGAAAGTCGTCATCTTGAGGTCCCACGAAAAATACAGGAAGCCCCTCAGGGCAAGAGAGGAAGAAAGCTCCTGCAGACCCACCTATGATTCAAGGCTTGGTGTGGGAGGCTGCCAGCTAACACCTACCATGCCAGTCACACACCGTGACTCAGCCCCGCACCGGCAGTCACAGCTTACCCAAAGGCCGTTCCAAAGATGAAGCCACTGGCCAGTCCTTGCAGACCCAAGTGCATTCTGAAGAGGGCTCCTGTGAAGCCTAAAAAACACAAAACCACTGAAACCATAAACAGCCCCCTCACCAGCCATGGCAGACCTGCTGAGGGAGCTGCTCTGCCCCATTTCTGCTCTGCCCTGTTTCTGCTCTCCATGAGCTGACATCCACTTTTAACAGAGCAGAAATCAAGCGCTGTGGCCAGTGGGAGGGCCCCTCACCATACAGTCACAGCAGCCTGAGGAGCAGGCACTTTAACAGCCAGAGCTGAGCTGCTGTTGCAGTACTTCCCCAGGTCTTTATCCGCATGCTCTCTGCACTAAAACATTGCATGAGGCTCCTTCTTGTTCAGAAAGACTCCCCAAGAAATGCTAAAATGTCAAAGTTAACTCTGAGATTACAACTGAGTTCCCTGCTGGCTGGAGCATGATCTCCCCACCACTTTTTTCCCCTTCTATTCAGCAGCAGCTAATAATAGCAGCTGCCATGTAAGGCAAAAAGGAACAGTAAAGCACGCACCCAACTGCAAGGGCAGGAAAGCCTCTAAAACTCAACAAGCAGATCGCTTACCAGTTGCCAAAAGGAGACATGCAAAATTTGGCATGAAAATGGTAGTTTATAAACA